GGGACATTTTCCTAGGAATAGAATTCTGAGGTTCAAAGTGATTAGATTTTTTAAGATTTATTTATTTATTCAAAAGTTAGAGTTACACACAGAGAGGAGAGGCAGAGAGAGAGAGAGATCTTCTATCCCTGGTCCACTTCCCAATTGGCCACGACAGATGGAGCTGAGCCAATCCGAAGCCAAGAGCCAGGAGATTCCTCTGGGTCTCCCACATGGGTGCAGATGCCCAGTCACTTGGGTCATCCCCCACTGCCCTCCTGGGCCACAGCAGAACTGGACTGGAAGAGGAGCAACCAGGACAGAATCCGACGCCCCGACCGGGACTAGAACCCGGGGTGCCAGCGCCGCAGGTGGTGGATTAGCCTAGTGAGCTGTGGTGCCGGCTTCAAGAAAATATTTTATAATCTCATTTTAAAAATCAAAATTTCAAATGAGATTTTCTGCACTCTTTTTTTTTTTTTGAACAGACAGAGTGGACAGTGAGAGAGAGACAGAGAGAAAGGTCTTCCTTTGCCGTTGGGTCACCCTCCAATGGCTGCCGCGGCTGGCGCGCTGCGGCCGGAGCACCGCGCTGATCTGATGGCAGGAGCCAGGTACTTTTCCTGGTCTCCCATGGGGTGCAGGGCCCAAGCACTTGGGCCATCCTCCACTGCACTCCCTGGCCACAGCAGAGAGCTGGCCTGGAAGAGGGGCAACCGGGACAGAATCCGGCGCCCCAACCAGGACCCGGGACTAGAACCCGGTGTGCTGACGCCACAAGGCGGAAGATCAGCCTAGTGAGCCGTGGCACGCTTCTTAAAAGAGACAGTAATTCTTGGAGCGGTGCTGTGGTGCAGGAGGTTAAGCCACTACCTATGATACCCAGATCCCATTTTCGTGCCCATACATCCTGGTTGTTCCACTTCCAAAACCAGCTCCCTGCTAATGCACCAGGAAGGCAGCTGAAGATGGCACAAATGTTTGGGCCCCTGCCACCCAAATGGGAGAGCCAGATGAAGTTTCTGGCTCCTGGCTTTGGCCTTTCCCAGTCATGGCTCTTGCAGCATTTGGGGAGCAAACCAATAGATGCAAGATACTCATATTTCTCTCTCTCTCTCTCTCTCTCTCTCTCTCTCTCTCTCCTATTTGTAATTCTTTCAAATAAATAAATACTAAAAAAGAAACAGTAATTCTTATGTTGGATTCTGCTGAAATAAAATACTTGATTCTGAAGTTATACCCTTCTCCATACACATCCTGAACTATAATTCTTTCAGGAGAGCTATTATATAAATAATGTAGACTTTAAATTTTAAAGTACAAGTTATAATAATCAATTAGCATACAATATTTAGTCTCTTTAAGAAAACAGTTTTTTGGGGGCTGGCAACATGGCTCACTTGGTTAATCCTCCGCCTGTGGCGCTGGCATCCCAGATGGGCACCGGGTTTTAGTCCCAGTTGCTCCTCTTCCAGTCCAGCTCTCTGCTGTGGCCCGGGAGTGCAGTGGAGGATCGCCTGAGTCCTTGGGCCCTGCACCCACATGGGAGACCAGGAGGAAGCACCTGGCTCCTGGCTTCGGATCGGTGTAGCTCCGGCCGTAGCAGCCATTTGAGGGGTGAACCAAATGAAGGAAGACCTTTCTCTTTCATTCTCTCTCTCTCACTATCTATAACTCTATCTGTCAAATAAAAAAAAAAAGTAATTGGGCCCCTGCCACCCATGTGGGAGACCCCCCCACACACACACACAAAACAAAAGAAAGAAAAAAGAAAAAAAAGTTTTTTGGTCATCAAATTACCCAATGTTGCGTCTTTAAAAAAAACAGATTTATTTATTTATTTGAAAGTCAGAGTTACACTGAGAGAGAAGGAGAGGCAGAGAGAGAGAGAGAGAGAGAGAGGTCTTCCATACGCTGGTTCACTCCCCAATTGGCCATAATGGCCAGAGCTGTGCCAATCTGAAGCCAGGAGCTTTTTCTGGGTCTCCCACATGGGAGCAGGGACCCATGGACTTGGGCCATCTTCTACTGCTTTCCCAGGCCATAGCAGAGAGCTGGATTGGAAGTGGAGCAGCCGGGATTAGAACTGGTGGTCATATGGAATGCCAGCACTGCAGGCGGTGGTTTACCTACTACACCACAGCGCCGGCCCCCTTCATTTAATCTTGCAACTTCAATTTCTTCCCCAGCATATTATTGTTTATTCACTGAAGTATCCATATGTAGTTGCCTTATCCATCTTCTGACCAATGATCTGCCTCTTAGGGGACTTAAAGACTGAGTTCTATTAAGTTTTCACTCGGTAAAGCTAATGGATGAGTTTTGAGTATCATGAAATTAAAGTGGGATGTAACATGAAATTGAGACAGAATCAGAAACTTGAATTTAGTGGGCATCTTTTCTATTCCCTTGAATTTTTTCAGCTGAGAAAAGTGGTAACTGAAGAAATTATTCATTCACTAAGGGGTCTAAATGGCAAAATCTTAAATTTTGAATTATTCAAATGAACAGTGTCTCTGTTACTATACTATAAATTACTATACTCTGTGATGTGTAAATTACAATACCATACATAATATGCTTATAAAGTAGAATGATATCCTGTTATTAAGAAAAACTGACCTCAACTGTGTAAAAGAGCGATTCTTGACCACAGGACAACTAAGTCTCAAACATCAAAAGAAATCAGCTATTACTTTAATGCCACATCAAGATATTATACAGTTGTTGGACTAAATAAAATACTTTATGTATTAAGCACTTTAAGGAATATCTTAAATACCAGATACTACAATATTTTATTATTCATATATGGGCTAACATTGTAGAGCAAGCAATAACAATTTGATATTCACATAACATTTCTCTGAGTTGAATCTGAAAGAAAAACAGTACTAAAACTCTTTCCCAGTCAAGCTTCCATCTCTCTCTTTCTCTCCTTCTTTTGACTACAATTATTTTTTTTTGAAATACCACTACATATTTATTTATTTATTTATTTATTTATTTATTTTTAACTGTTATTTAATGGATATAAATTTCCAAAGTACATTTATGGATTACAATCGCTTCCCCCCCATAATGTCCCTCCAACCCGCAACCCTCCCCTTTCCCACTCCCTCTCCCCTTCCATTCACATCAAGATTCATTTTCGATTCTCTTTATATACAGAAGATCAGTTTAGGATACATTAAGTAAAGATTTCAACAGTTTGCTCCCACACAGAAACATAAAGTGAAAAATACTGTTTGAGTACTAGTTATAGCATTAAGTCTCAATGTACAGCACACTAAGGACCAAGATCCTACATGAGGAGTAAGTGCACAGTGACTCCTGTTGTGGACTTAACAAATTGACACTCTTGTTTATGGCCTCAGTAATCACCCTAGGCTCTTGTCATGAGCTGCCAAGGTTATGGAAGCCCCCTGAGTTCACTGACTCTGATCATATTTAGACAAGGCCATAGTCAAAGTGGAAGTTCTCTCCTCCCTTCAGAGAAAGGTACCTCCTTCTTTGATGACCCATTCTTTCCACTGGGATCTCACTCGTGGAGATCTTTCACTTAGGGTTTTTTTTTTTTCCCCCAGAGTGTCTTGGCTTTCCATGCCTGAAATACTCTCATGGGCATTTCAGCCAGATCCGCATGCCTTAAGGGCTGATTATGAGGCCAGAGTGCTGTTAGGACATTTGCCATTCTATGGGTCTGCTGTGTATCTCACTTCCCATGTTGGATCATTCTCTCCTTTTTTTATTCTATCAGCTAGTATTTGCAGACACTATTCTTGTTTATGTGATCCCTTTTGTTCTTAGTCCTATCATTACAATCAATTGTGAACAGAAATTGATCACTGGGACTAGTGAGATGGCATTGGTACATGCCACCTCAATGGGATTGAATTCGAATCCCCTGGTATGTTTCTAACTCTACCGTTTGAGGTAAGTCAGCTTGAGCACGTCCTGAATTGCACATCTCTTCCCTCTCTTATTCCCACTCTTATATTTTACAGCAATCACTTTTCAGTTAAGTTTCAGCACTTAAGAAGAATTGTGTATTTATTACAGTATTCAACCAATTATTTTTTAAATATCAGTGCACTCTAATCTCGTGCCCACCCCACAAGGTTCTCCCAAGTTACTCCTCTTCCTTTTGTCTTTATAACCTTTCTAATCCAACCATTTTATTGCCCAAACCAGTAAGACTTTTGTCCTTCCTTATCCCCTTGTCTTACCTTCACACTCATTTGGAAGAACTTCAATCTTGGAAAAAATTAAACTGTCTGAATTGTTGTGTACTACTAGAGAAAATGACTCTTACATGGATTGGCGTAATCACAAATTCTGCACTCTTATGGGCTTCAGGATCAATGCATGATTAATTTCTCGTTATCTTGCTCCTCAGTACCATTAGAAACTATTGGGACTTAACAAAAGTCATCATCCTGGCACCTATAAGCTTCTTTATCACTCATCCAGGTCTCCTCTCCTCCTTGTACACCATAAGACCTGCTCCTCCTCCCTGAAAGGTTAATCCTCCCACATGTGCTCTAAATTCCTCTTGCTTCTGACTTTTCAGAATTTTACTTCAATATCTGTTGTCTCTTTTATATTATCTTCCATCATTGAAGAGCTCTTATCAGTACCAAAACTTGCCCAAATCTCTTCTATCTTTTTAAAGTTTTACCTCTTCTTGACCCAGTGAGCCTCACTGCTTGAAGACATCTTATATTTACCTTCTCCAGTGCTCATTAACTCCTCACCCCTACTTCCCAGCAAATCTACCTTGCGTTGGTCCTCAAGAACTTGCTTGGCTCAAAGGTCCTCCATGATCTAGTCCCTGCGGTTTCCTCATTGCTCTCAATTCTTTAATCATTCCCAAATAGGATGAACTTAAATGGTATTAAAGGTGGCAAATATCATTTGTAAGACTTCACATACGCTGTATTCCTGCTGGGCAGCTCTCTGCCCATTAGCTCCTCTCTTTAGCCTACAAAGTCAGTTCTCCCTCCACCTGCACCCTCCAGTTTATTCTGCAACTTCTCCTTCAAGACTCAGTTCAGTTTCACCTTCTGATGCTGCTCATCTCTCTAGAATGTATTCCCTCTCACCCAACACTCCTGTAAAATCACTCAGCACCCCACACTGGAAGTCTCTATTTACCTCATGTACTAGGTTGTGTATTACTCAAGGCAGGGTCTATTTTTGGCCATCTTTGTGACCCCTGTAAAAACTGTCCTCTTCAAGGACTGTTTTACCCTTTACTGAGGTTCCCCCATTCTAAAGAAGAAAAAGATAACATGTGGTTCAATTACTCTTGAAAGCGTATTAGAGCTAAAAAAGTACAAGACCAAAGCAATGATGACCTGTTTAGGCTTTTCTGTATACCAAATTGCCTTAAGTTATCCTAAAAGCTGAAAAATAATCAAAGTTTGCCCAATAGTATTTTCTTTTTCCTTTTTCAATATTCCTTGTAGGGAAATTCAAAAAGTGTGTTCATTTCCTGTAGCAGGGACAAGAAGTTGTCTCCTAGTAATAGAATCTCTATATTGCTGTGAGAAGCCACTGGCACAATTAACGTCGGGATGAGTGAAAAAGAATGGGACTTCTGAAAAGGTATTTGAAGCAGATAGGCTTAATTTGAGGGCACACACATTTTTACCCTGTTCCTCTTTCTTTGTCATCCCTGAAATGGACATGCTAGCACGAGCTCAGGCAGACAACTGAACCATGAGGCAAAGTTGAGAATGGAATCACGCATGAAGGATAGTAGTGGAAAAAAGAAATAAGGAGACTGGATCATAGATGTTTATAGAAATACCATACCGATGTTGGAGCACCTAAACCCAGAACTCATTTACATGAGAGAAAAATAAATCTCTATTGTGTTGAAGGGGTTGCTATTTGGGACAGCTATTACACACAGCCAAGCCGAACTGATAAAAAATTCTTGGATCCACTTATTTCTTTGCATCCAAATGACAACTGTTCTGCCTTCCAAGATGTACATTGTGCTTTGCTCATTCGGTGTGCCAGACAAATCTGGTGGCTGTTATTGGATAGGATGACAAAAGCTAGTTACCATCAGTGTACTTCCCCACCCACCTGTGCCCTCATTTTCACTTAAAACTTTCATCTACATTCTACAACATTTTCTGTCTGTTTCTTCTAGTCCTACAGGAATCTAGAGACAGAGCCAGGGTTAAAACTATCAAGTTTTTCCTCTTATCACATATGCTAAACTGTAAGTAGAATCAGAAAGAAAGGCATTTAAGGAGAAATGCATAAAAACCACATCAATAAGACTTTTTAAAATGTGTCTTATGGATATGAAATACAAATTGAACAAATAGAAATATATTCCATGAGCCTGGATAGGAGAACTTACCATAAAGGCATTCATCTTCTCACAGCTAATTTGTAAATGCAATGACACTCTGAAAGTCAGCACCTTTCTTTCCCTCAGAATCAAATAAGGTCATTTTACAATTTATATGAAAATTTAGATAAAGAAGAGCAGCTGGGAAAACTTGGGGGGGAAAAAAGAGTAATGAGGAATGAGTAACTCTACAATGTAACAAAATACCATAAAGACTTAGTAATTACAGAAATGTAAGTTTAAAGAAAATACATAGAGTTCAGAAACACAAAAATAAAGAGAATTTTGGCCTATGACAAAGTACCTTTTCATAACTGTGGGGAAAAGATCAATTATATAATAAATGATGTTGAAATATGGGGTAGCCATATATAAAAAAAGATAATCCCTATTTCACAAATACACCAGAACAAATTCTGAAAGGATCAGTGCTTAATTATAACAAGATGAAATAATAAAAATACTACAAGAAAATACAAAACTCTTTTTATAACCCTGAAGTTGGGAGAAATCTTTCTATAACATAAAATCTAGAAACCATAAAATAAAAATTGATAAATTCGTTAACATATTAAAGAAAAATAAAATTATAAACCACTTTTTAAACTATCAGCAAACTCAATAATATGAAAATATTTAAATTCAATTAACCTAGCAAGAAATAATTTATTTGGAGGCCTGCGCCGCAGCTCAATAGGCTAATCCTCCGCCTTGCGGCGCCTGCACACCGGGTTCTAGTCCCGGTTGGGGCGCCGGATTCTGTCCCGGTTGCCCCTCTTCAAAGCCAGCTCTCTGCTGTGGCCAGGGAGTGCAGTGGAGGATGGCCCAAGTGCTTGGGCCCTGCACCTCATGGGAGACCAGGATAAGTACCTGGCTCCTGCCATCGGATCAGCGCGGTGCGCCGGCCGCAGTGCACCAGCTGCGGCGGCCATTAGAGGGTGAACCAACGGCAAAAGGAAGATCTTTCTCTCTGTCTCTCTCTCTCACCGTCCACTCTGCCTGTCAAATAAATAAATAAATAAAAAGAACTAATTTATTTGGAATGTATCCAGCTTCTACAAAATATTTACTTACCTAATGTCTACTGAAGCAGTAAGACAAAAGCAACAACCCTATAGGACCTAGCTCAGTGAAAGAAAGTTAATTTCCTTCTTTAAAAAAGTGTAAATAGCTCTTATACATGAAAAAAGTTATCCCTCATTCATAATACAATATTTACATGGCAGGTGTCTGCTCTACAGGTTGATGGCAGTTAAGATGCCCAGGTCCCAGCTCCACTCCTGATTTCAGCTTCCTACTAATGCTGACCCTGGGAGGCAGCAAGTGATGGCCCAAGTAGTTGGATTCCTATCATTCACATGAAAGACCAGGTTGAGTTGTAACTCTGCCCAGGGCCACTGTGGACAGCTAGGGAGTGAAACAGTGGATTCTTGGTGTGTCTGTCTATTGGATGATGATGATGATGATAGTAACACTAAAAAGAAACACAATTTCATTTACACTTAGGAAATTGGCAAAATTCTAAAAACGCGTGTTAACATAACATTGACAATGTTGAAGATAAAGAAGCTATCTCTATATGCCTGGGGATACTATTTATGAAGGCAACCACTGATACAACCTCTCTTCCTCAACAGCTCATGCCTAGGGAGCAGGATCATTACCTAATCAAAGAACATTTCTTCTTAGGCAGAGGGACCTGGGAACATTTGTCCAGTGGGATTTTTAGACTAGCTGTGGACCAGGGCCTCTCACTATTCTCCTGCCTTTTGAATAAAGCATTCATAGAATAATGATAATATACATCCTATACATAAAGGGGACAATGAGAGTCACATAGCACTAACACCCACAATTACAGGTTAGGAGTGTGTGCGGGGGCAGGGTAGGATTAGGTAAGGTCTCTTTTAAATTCATGTGTCTCCAAATCAAGAGTTAGACTGGCATAAATCTTAAGATCCTAGAGTTCAAATATGATTCCATAAATCAATGATGATTCTAGGAAGTATGTGGAAAGTAGTTTGTTAGGACTGAGGTGTTTTCTGTATGTGAATAACTGTGATTTAGAATGTGGGGCGCAGCAGATGACACTACTGCTCCCAGTTCTTCACTTTCCCATATTTATGTCATCTACAGTGTGAATTTGTAGACTCTCCCTCAAGAATTAAAGCATATTTTCTTTCCTTGTTGATGTTAGACTTTGCCATCTGACTTTCTCTGACAAGTGTACAAGAGCAGAGTTTCTTGCTGGATTGTGCTTTGATCTACTTACTCTTTTTTTTCTTTTCATAAAAAAAAATGATGGTTCACAAAGCTCTTGGTCAAGAAATCTGAAAGAAAGGTTCAGTGGACCTAGTCCTATCTTGCAACTTAAAGCCAACTGCAGTTAGAGGCAGCTGAGATCAGCCAAACCCCAGCCAATCCCAATGAATCTGTGAGGAAGAAACAAATGCTTCCTGAACGGCCCTCAGGTTTTGGAAATCCATTATGCAGTATTATTGCAGCAACAGTTAACTAACATCTCAATCTAAGAATCTAAGAATCCAAAGATTATTGAAGGAATAAGTTACTAGATATTAATTTTGACATTTCAGAGGTGTTTGCTGTAAATCATCGCTTTTTTGGATATTTCTATAAAAGTACAAAACGATTCAGAAAAATTCTGAAATTAAGAGGCTGTCCCTCAGAAAATAATAGGAAATTTCTCTAAGATGGAGGTACACTGCACAAATAAATACCATAAATGAATTTTAATATAAAAACATCTTTATTTAACATTGAAAATAAAGTTCAGATATTACGAAATGAAAATGTTCCATTAGCTGGAAATCATTATCTCAGAGCTGGGTTTGATATTTTCTGTACTTTTTATTTCCCCATAAATTTTGATCAGGATGAAAAGTGGAAATCTCTAGCCAATGAGCTAAAAGTGACTCTGTGGGAGATGTCACTGCTCAGAACACTGCATCCCTCCTGCACCATGGCAGGTCACAGAGAGATCCCGTTGTACTACAAGGGAATACAGTTCACCCCAGTAAAAAATTAATGGCTACACTTGCTCTATTTCAAGACAACATTTTATTGTTTAAAGACTGAATCATTATAGTAGTGAACCAACTGACTTACATTTCAAAATGAAATCCCTTGCCTACATGTCATGACTAAGAGTGATTTGAACAGCCCCTCTTTAATAAACATGCTTTGGAATTGAAGTGTTTCATCTGCCTTTGTATTTGCATTTTATATCCTTTCCCTTCATTTTCCCCTCATTATCCTTTCCTTTCTTTAACTAGAATAACTAGCATTATAGACAGTTAGATTTCCTATGTGCTTATTCAATATAATTCCATAATCTATTCTCCATTTAACACCTTTTCTAATCTTCCCTTTTGTCTCTTCTGCACTGGCAGTCACCTTTGGCAAAGAAGTTTAAAAGGAACCCTGTTTATCTTGATCACTTAAAATTAGTGAAAATACCCCATTTATTGTGAGAACATGGTAATATTAATAGGACAGATTTCATATGTACTTGTAAGTGCCTGGGTTTCTCTTATAACTAAAGGATCATGTTATTATTAAATTTTCTTTACAAAATTTCACATTTTCTTAAATCATAGGGATGAGAATTTTTATGCACAAAGAATTTATTCATTCGGCACCACAAGACATTTTAAACTGTACTAAAAGACTGGGGCTGGCAGTGTGGTGTAGCAGGTTAAGCCACCACCTGCATTGCTGGAATCCCACTGAGACACTTCCGATACAGTTCCCTATTAATGTGCCTGTGAAAGCAGTGTAAGATATCCCAAGTGCTTGGGACACCATCACCCACAGGTGAGACCTGGAAGGAGCTGCTGGCATTAGACTGGCCCAGCTCTGGCTGATGCAGCCATTGAGGGAGAGAACCAGAGATGGAAGATACCTGTATCTCTCCCTCTCTCTCCTTTTCTCTCTCTCTCTCTCTCTTTCTCTATAACTCTGCCTTTCAAGCAATTAAATGAAAACAATCTTTTAAAAAAAGAAAAGACTATGATGTATCCATTTTGTTATATAATAAAATGTCTGAAAAAAATATGGGTGATTTTATAGAGTATTTCACTGTAAAATTTAAATATCTAATCCAAAATATAGGATCTATTAAGAATAAAAATAACTAGGTTATGCTATATTTAATGATTAAAATAATTCTCTTTAAATTTCTAATTGATAAATAATCATTGTAAGGGCCAGCGCTGTGGCTCACTTGGTTAATCCTCCACCTGCGGCGCCAGCATCCCATATGGGCGCCGGGTTCTAATCCCGTTTGCTCCTCTTCCAGTCCAGCTCTCTGCTGTGGCCTGGGAAAGCAGTGGAGGATGGCCCAAGTGCTTGGGCCCCTGCACCTGCATGGGAGACCAGGAGGAGGCAACAGGCTCCTGGCTTTGGATTGGCATAGATCCGGCCATTGCGGCCATTTGGGAGGTGAACCATTGGATGGAGGACCTTTCTCTCTGTCACTCTCTCATTGTCTATAACTCTGCCTGTCAAATAAATAAAAATAAATAAATATTTACAGTGATTATTTTTATTTATTTATGGGATACAGTATGTTGTTTTGACATAGCATTACACTGTAGAATGATTAACCCAAACTAATTAACACATCCATCACTTCACTTACTTACCATTTTGGGGTGAAAACATTTAAAATCTACCCTTCTAGCAATTTTGAAATGTGCAGTGCACTGTTATCTACTGTAGTCACCAATCTCTGCCATAGACCACTAAAGCTTATTCCTCTCATCTAACTAAAATTATCTTTTGATCAGCCTCTTCCCTTTCCATATCTACCCTCTTCCCAGGCCTGTGAAAACTACCATTATATTCTCAATTCTTATGAGTCTTACCTTAAAAATAATTCTTATGAAAGTTATATTTTCCTACTAATTCAAGAGTCATGCCCCATCACATACTGTTTTTATTAATTTTCTTCTTTTTTCTTTCATATTATTTATTTTTTTAAGAAAGAAAGGGATAGAGGAAGAGAAGGAAAGAGAAGAGACAGATTAACAGAGAAGGCACTATCATTTGCTACTTCACTCCTTAAATGCTCACAAAGGCCAGAGCTGGGCTGTGGTCTGGGGCTGGGAACCAGGAAGGTAATCCAGGTCTCTCATGAGATAGACAGAATCTAATTACAGGAGTCTTTATCATTGCCTCCGAGAATCTATGTTGGCACAAAGCTGAAGTCATGAGCCAGACTTTGTTCGTAATACCTCTTAGCTGATAGGCTAGATGACTACTCCCACAAATACTAATATTTTTAAATCAATCAGGTAGCCATTCTCAAAAAAATTCTGCAATTAATATGATCAGACACTTTTTGGGAAACTTGTTTAAGCATACACAAAAAATTTGATTGTCATTTGACCTTTAGTAAGTGTGTTAAGAGTTTACCAAAATGAGGAATATATAATTTATGTATATTTTAGTATAATTCAATGTCATTTTGTCAGAAATTACATTGTAATTTGATACGGCACTTAAAAATCTTTTTGGAAAGACTCCATGTTTCTTTAATGTGGGATTTTCAAAAAGTGAATGCTTAGGTAAAAATAGGTAAAAATTATAACTGATGAATGGTCTTGAGTTTATATGAAATAGTTTTTTTTAAAGATATGTTGCTAATTTAATTGCAGATGGACCATACCTTATTAGCATTACACTGAGTCATTTTTATTGTTTGTCTTCTCTAATGCAACCGTATTATAAGGGACCCCATAATTTGTATTATTGCACTGAAGCCTCAGATAAGTTAAACAATGTATTTTCTACCTGACTTCAAATAGTTCTTTGTAATTGACAGAGACACACAGTGAGGGAACACAGACAGACATTTTGTGTAAGCATGAGCTGCTGCTTACTCATGAGTAAAAACAAACATCACCAAGTCTATAAAGCAGCATGGGCTTCACTCAGCACTGACTCTCACTTCTCAGCCATGGCTCTCAGGCATGGTGGCCGAGGGGGAACACAATGGGGCATAAATTTCCCAACAGAGCAAATGTTTTACACATTGTCAAGTTAATTCTCTATTTCTCACGTTAAATCCTCTTGTGGTATGCGTGTGAGTCCAGAGAATGTCTCCTCAAAGCAAAATGGACAATTTTCTAAGTCACTGGGTTACTACACAAACTTTCCAGGGAGAGGATACAATCCTTGTGCTTACCCCTTTTGTATTCTAGGAAGAACACACAAAGGACAGACTATCCCACAGTTCAGGGGAGCAATGCTCAGTTACCTTTCAGGATGTTTAATCCTCCAAGTTATTTATAAATTATAACTTCCTTTGAAAAAAAGAAAAAAGAGGAGGTAATATTTCTATGCTTGAAAAATAATAGATGCCAAGAGGCAAATGCTGGGGCAAATACATTAGTACAATCAAGCATACATATTCTTTTCTTTAAAAAAAATAGGAATTAGCTTGATTTTTCCTCTCACTTCTGATGGCAAAAGTAGTCATTACCACAAATTTTTCTACTGCTATTTTATCACTCTTCCTTGGTCATATGGAGGTATTTTATATGCTAAGTAAAAATTAATTCCAAGTATTTTTAAAATAATTAGACAACCAACCATGGAGAAATATCTACATAAAATATATAAACATCTTTAGAGATAAAAGACTTGCCAATAAGCCCGAGTCTCTAAATAAGAAAGCATGTCAAAAGAAACTCAATTACTTAAAAATCATATTACAATATTAGCAGACTAAGGAAGTGCAGAAGATATAATAGGCCTTAATTTTAGCATAGTAACTCATAAGCTCATTTGAAAAATGAATTCAAATTAGCTGTGATAGGAGAGCTCTCATCTGCACTAAAATAGCATGAAGGGTTGTAAAGGCAAGGGGATGATGAATGGCAATGTATTGAGTCATAGATTTTTTTGGCCAAAATTTTCCCAAAAATCCAATATATTCAAAGTACTTAAAAATCCAAACTATTCACCCAATTACCTGAGATGAAAGAAAGAGAAGGAAGGAAGAGAGGAAGAAGGGAAAAAAGAGAAGGAAGCAAGCCAGCTTTATGTGTTTTCCACACTGTTTTGTGGTGTGAGCTTTGCTATAACAGAAAATTCTAAAAAACTGTGGGATTCACATCTTTTATGTGAAAGCAAAGCATGACATTAAATATTAGCTGCATATCTATTATTCTTCCTCCCTTTTCTCATATTATTGCCACACACAAAGTAATGGGGTTAAAAAGATTTATTTTAACAGAATAAGAACAGGTAAAAAGAAAATTAAGTAACAATAATCATTAATAATGGTTTAATTGTGTACTGAATTTCTACTATGTATAGGCATCCTGTTAAGATTTTAAATTTGTTATTTAATTCTGAGATCAACTTTAAGAGGTAAATGCCATTAGTATTCACATTTTAAAGATTAAAAAGCTTATTTTTTATTTCTAAATGACCAGTCAATTGTAAAGCCAGAACTGAAAGAAAAGTCTGCTAAAACTGAAGCTCCTTTAGCTATACCACTGTGCCATAATTATTGTTAGTATATTGTTGTTGTTGTCTTAATTATTATCAGGCTATTATTATGGAATTAATGGAGAAGCAGAAATACAGACACATTAAATTACAAATAACATGGTACAAATAGCTCTTTGTGACAGAGACATACCTAATCATAATTCATATGATTGCCCACACAGGTGGAGTCCTAAATCTATTCAGCCACTGTGCCAATCTGCTTCAACCTGGGGCATCTCTAAACCTCCAACTCCAAAAAGATTGATAAAAATAAAGAAAATGAGATATAAGAGAGTTAAAAAAAAAACTCATCCAAGATAATGTGGCAGAATCAGGATTTAAACTCAGCCACTCTGATTCGAGAGGTCTTACACTTACCCTGTCTTGGACAGAATCTATCATAGAGTCCCAACACATTGCACAAATTCTGATAGCCTTCATTCTTGGCTGGGAGAGTCAAAAGAGGCCTTTAGGCAAATAGGAGAAAGTTCTTGTTGAGAACATCAGAAAATTGGTAGAAATAAGGGACAGAGGGAGAGTAAAAGGAAGCAGCACGGTCAGAGGTGAGAAGGGGCAAGGCCAGCCTAGGGTGCAGGCAGGAACCAGTGAGACAGGAACCAAGGCTCTGGAAAGATGAGGTCTGTACTTGGAGAAACAAAGGTACCCGTTTTGTGTTGCTTCTGTAAGAAGACACTTTAAACTTAGTAGCTTAAAATAACACAGACCTATTATCTCAAAGTTCTGGAGGTTGGTCTCACACAGCTGAAGTCTGGCATCAGTTGGGCTGGCTTCTTCTGTAGGTTCTGAGGGGGCCATCTTCTTCTTTCCCTTTTCAGCTCACAGAGGTTGTGTGTCTTCTTTGGCTCGGGACTTCTTCCTGGTATCACTCCAGTCTCTAGCTTCTGTTGTCATGTACTAACTCTGGTTCTCCTGTCTTGTGATGACATTGGGTCTACCTGGATGATCCAGGGTAGCCTCCCTGTTTCAAGAGCCTTACTTCAAGTAAGTAGTAAGCAAAGTCTCTTTGTCATATGAGGTACCATATTCCCAAATTCTGGGCACTAAGACATGGACACCTTCCTGGGGACACTTTCTGTCCATAACAGCAAGGACAGGAGAGTTCACACAGCCTGACAGGAGATGACTGTTGTCAAATTAAAGATTAGTGAGAGCTCCTGAAGTTTTTTTTTTTTTTTTTAAACAGGGAAATAAAACAGCATGATTAAAGCAATACTCGCATTTTTGATCAAGAGATCTGACATTGAGAATGACTTATCTATAGTAGTGAGTCTCAAGAATTATAATGGTAGAAATCATATGTTGAATTTGTTATTCAATAGAGATTCACAGACTCCTTTGTCGCTGGAGATCTTCACCTCCTAGGTCTGTCATGGATCCCAGGAACCTTCCTTTTCAAGCAGTCCCCACAGATGAATTTGATGTGCATGTGAAAGACCATGCTTTGAGAAATGGTTGGCAATGGTATCTATTACTTCAAATGTCTTCGTATAGAGCTACCATCCCTCTTTTCCAATCCATGCAAGATTTAAAAAAACATGAAAATATTTCAACTTATAAGATTCATTATATATAGAAAATAATAACATAATAAAAGTCACCATTTTAAACATTAAGGAAAAACTACCAGTTTTTGATAAAGAGAAAGATATCTGAGAACTGTACATCTTATTTACTGGATTTTTACCATATGTAATGCATTGTTTTAAGCACTATATTTTCATATTAATTCCTTTGTCAAAGTCAAAAACTATTCTTGTTTAGTATTATATTTCCATTTTATAGAGTAGCACACTGAAGTTCAGAGGGACTAAATAGCTCTTCCCATATCATGTAGCTAGAAGATGACAGCACTCATTGTGGGTCATTGTCTTCCTGGCTTCTGAAGTCATATACTTTCTACTTTGCTGCTGTGTCCTCCACAGGATACTAACCTACAAAAGACTAACTAACTATTCTACAGTAAAACTTACATATGAAGTCTATAACCATTTAATACATACTCCTGACTCTTTTTAAGAAGAAATATGTGTTGAGAGAAGGAAAATAATGGACCAAGATCCAGAGGTTGGGATTTTCTCCTGGTTCTGGGTCTACTCTGTCTGAGACCTTGAACAAATCCTTTAATCTCCATGGTCTGCATTTTCTCAATCTGAAAATAAGAAGGCCAGCAAACTAATCTCTAAAATTCCTTATCACTGTACATTTCTGGGATTTTTATGAATATAGCAATTACAGATCACATCAAACATCACATATCACTTCATACTAATGGTTTACTTATCAAAAGAATTTTACACAATAGCAGTAACTCCTTTGGTTGGAAAATGGATAAATATGAAAGAAATTAAGAAAATCATAAATCTTTCCTAGAATCTGTGGGAACGAGAGAAAAACAAATATCTCCACCAATCACTTACTCCAAGGACTTGGCAACACAAATGATATGATATAGTTCATAGACAATCAAAAAGTTTTTGAGAAGGTGGGGAACAATAATATATTTGGTAGATTCAGAAACTTAAGTTAATGCAATTAATTCATAGAGAATTCCTTCTCTGAGAATCTTGTCATGTCTCATTTAGATGTTGTGTGAAAAAACATTTTAAAATCCAATTATTCATTCCATGGTAGATTAAAAAGCAAGAAAACTACCAGAAGGTTAAGTGAGCTTGCACTTATAACAGAAAAAAAGCAATGGAAAAGATAATAAAATTGTAAAAAACTAACACAGTGACTCGAATGCACAACTTCTGATGTCTCTCATGATGGGAAACAGGACACTCCAGAGGCCAAATGCTAGAATAATGATCACTGTGTTGAGCGCTGAACAGATGTGGCTTTGAATCACGTTTTTAACCTTGACTCAACATTTCTGAGTCACTACCAGAGTTTATTTTACATACCAGACATAGGAAGGAAGAGAATGAATGAAGAAAAATAAGAGACTCTTGCAAATCCTTTTGTAGTCTGGGACACCTGTGATAGACCCCGGTTCTATGGTATTAAGCCATGGGGCTCAAAGTCTGGGCTGTCAATCTTTGAGTGAGTGCCTTGGAGAGGTCTAGAGATCTAGGGGTTGCTGTCAGGAAGTAACACTGCATTTTTCAATCCTTGAGGATTGTCTGAAGAAGGAAGGGAGTTAACAGAGAGGACATAAGAGGGTCCACTGGGTCGTAACTGCCAAGGTGAGATGTGACCTTCAGAGAGAAGAGTCTCTAAGCAGCAGGCTCCAAAGTTAAGACTTTCAAAGCGCATGGTTCTGCAGTCACATAGACCTGGCTTTGAGCTCTTCCTTGGCATGGGCATTTAGTGCCTAGAATTCTCATCAGTAAAATATCTACAGCATCTCATTGCTTTGAGAACTGAATGCAGTATTACTTTCATAGAGATGAACTTTGGTTAATGAATTTTTCTGTTGTTTTATCATTATTTAGTGAAGTTTAGGAAACACTCAGAGGAACCCATGAAAGGGGGGAGGTGTTTTTGGAAGTGGAAGATAGAATGTGTCTGGAGAGATCTCTGCTTCTAACTCTTCCCTCAATGTATACTGTATTAGTCTTCCAAAATAACTTCTCACAGCGAAGACAGAATACTTTCCTGTCTGGAAATGTGGCATTGTACACGTCTAAACATCTGAGTTCAGGTTTCTGTTGCTCAGGGAAAGATTACAATTTCCCATCTAAACTGCATGTTCTAAGGAAGTAGAATTATGTCTTGTTCATCATTTTGTGCCCCAGAGATCCTGACAAATGGAGATGTTCAGTCACTAGTTATTGAATAAATGAATGAATGAATGAATGGAGGTTGAACAAATACCCTTCTCCAATTCTTTAGCATGTTTTTTTTTTCATTGACTACACTTAATACCCATGTTTGTAACAGTTTTTGGAGTTATTTTTAGAAAACAAAGCTAAAACAATTTCAAATTTCATCACAAAAGAGCAACTAATGAAACACAAGAACATACAAAATCAGGCTGAAAACAGATCTTGTACTGGGGAGTGAGGAGAAACTATCATTGTTTTTCAAGTCCCTCCTTCTCTTGGTACCCCAAATCACTGAAAGGATTTCAAATAAGACCATAAGAAGGAGCAGAAGGGAAGAGTCTCAAGACCTGGCTTAGCTCCCAAATCTCCAAGTGAAAAGCAAGATAAAGAGAAGGCAGCTGCTGCTTAATGCCACCAACTGCTGATGGAAACTGGCAAGCAGAGCATGCAGACCAGTGAAAGGATGAGGCTTACGTTTGTAACATAATTAACTATTCATATCCTCTTAGACATCAGAATTCTCTTATAAGATTGTGGATACCTACTGGAGAAAATGTAGGTGCTGGCTGCCAGGGCAATCTGTTTCTCAGGAGAGTCACTCAAGGAAAATTGTTAACAATAGAAGGCAAGGAAGAAAAGGCTCTTTACAGCTCTTTGCCAGTCAATTCGTAAAAACATAAGGGTGCTCCATGCATGAGGCACTATTGTATGCTTGAGGGCGGCTGTGGAAGGTGAAAGAGATGCATATATACGTCACAGTCCTTGCCCTGTTAGAGGTATGTAGCTGGTGACTGGCAGTGTGACATCTGATTGGGACAGAGTCATGTGAGGTCACACTGGGGAAGCCTCTAAGGCAGGATTCCAACTACTGTTGATACTACTGTATTGTGAAAGCCGGGTCAATATGCTGCTAAACAAATGGCCTTGAAGAAATAAAGGAATTTTTGCCAATGCCTCCTTAATGGTAAGAATATTTTTCATGCTTTTGTAGAATCTCATTCATGAGCACACACACAGATAATATTCACTCAATTTTTATCTCTGTGCTGTAGAAGGATGGTAAAAATGTAGAGGTAGTCTCACAGCAAGGGAATACCAACTAATGACTTAGTTGATGCTTCCTATCTCCCTTTAAATGTGCAGATAACGGAGTACTAAAGCCTGTAGCCTTTGTTAAACATTATGCCAAAATTATTGTTCCTGTACTGGTTCCTCACATGCATTATTTCCTAAAAGCATATAACACCCAAACTTGTTCCCCTGTGATACATTTTATGGTAACTACTGGGAAATCTAAGGTGTTCAGCCATTCTTTAAATCCACTATAAATAACAACACTGAAAATACACTGGTTGTTAGACATTCAAATTGTCTGAATTTGCTCAAACTGAGTAACAGGTACCCTCTGCTGTGAAACAGTTTATGAAGTTCATCAAATTATGCCAATGAGGTTCTACTACACTGGGATCATCATTCATATTTTGTCAATACACAGAAACAACACTCACAAATAAATTACAGTATCTTCAAGAATCATTATCATATCTCCCACCAGAATGCAAACTCAATGGGAAAATTGTTTTGTATAGCTATTTCCGTCATCCCTAGAAAATTATTTGGAATATAGTAGGTGTTTAATAAATATTGTACTAATCAAATACATAAATGAATTTAAATAGTGTCTTTGAGATGACACAGGGAAAACTGACTAAAATGGAATAAGAGGTTCAGACATCACTTTATGAGTAAGTATCCCTGTAATCTATTCTCTAATGGTTACTTTTCTAAAAACACAATTTCTCTCTGTCTCACCAAAGTTGAACTATTCAGTCAAATGCCAGGAAATCTAAACATAACAGAGTGAGTATCTGACATTCAACATCCAATCAAAATATGGAAATGAAACACTATTTTCCATAGTGGATGTACCCATTTACATTTCCACCAAGAGTGTATGAGAGTTCTTTCTTCACATCCACATCAATATTTCATATTTTCTGTCTTTTCGAAATAGCCCATCAGAAGAACAAATAAAGAAAATATGATGTATATATGCACAATGGAATACAATTCAGTAATAAAGAAGAATGAAACATTGTCATTTGTAGCAAAATGGATAAAATTGGAGGACATCATATTAAGTTAAATAAGCTAGGCACAGAAAGACAAATACTATACTCTAACCCTCACATGTGAGAGCTAAAACAAAAATAAAACCAAACAACTCATTTGAACACAGAATAGTGAGGATAAAAGGGGTGGGAGGGATTGAGGGAGCTTGGATTTAAAAAAATAGGGAAATTTGAGTGTTCATTAGTTGTAACAAATAAATCATACTAATATGAGATGCCAATAAAAATAAATAAAAGTCAAAAAACACTAGACACAAAATTACTTCAAATACTTTGTAGAAAAATGGAACTAAAGACTACGTTTATTTTGATGCAAAATATTTTTGCAACAAAAAAATCCATGCATAAGTTTTTCATAATATTCACTTTCCATGTATTCTTTTGAAGAACTTTTGTACAGTCATCCACCACTGATCGAAACATGGTCTTGTCCATGTGATAAATACATGAAAATAAATTTAACCTGCACCAATTGACCTAATGTTTACAAAATGTGGTACCCAAGATTAAGTAGTAAAAAGCAAAGCTTCTAAATGTGATATATCACATTAACAAATTAAAGAAAAAACCATATGATTATCTCAATAAATGCAGAGAAAGCATTTGATAAAATACAACATCTTTCATGATGAAAACCGTAAGCAAAGTGGGTACAGAAGAACCATTTCTTAACACAACCAAAGTAACAGATGACAAACCCACAGCCAGCATCATACTGAACCCAAAAAAGCTGGAAACATTTCCATTAAGATCCAGAACCACACAAGGATGTCCACTCTCACCACTGCTATTGGATATAGTCCTGGAAGTTTTAGCCAGAGCTATTAGGCAAGGAAAAGAAATAAAAGGGATACAAATTGTAAAGAAAGAAAACAAATTACCCCTGTTTGCTAGAGACCCTAAAGCAATCTTAAACAAAAACAAAGCTGGAGGAATCACAATACTAGACTTCAAGAATTACTTCAGGGCAGTTAAAATCAAAACAGCCAAGTACTGGCACAAAAACAGACATGTAGACCAACGGAACAGAACAGAAACTCCAAAGATCAATCCAAGTATCTGTAATCAACTAATCTTGGACACACAAGCTAAAATCTATCCCTGGAGAAAGGACAGTCTCTTCAACAAATGGTGCTGGGAAAACTGCATCTCCACATGAAGAAGTATGAAACAAGACCTCTATCTCATACTTTATACAAAAATCAACTCACAATGGATCAAGGATCTAAATCTATGACCTGATACCACCAAATTACTAGAGGAGAACATTGGGGAAACTCTGAGAGACATTGGCATAGGCAAAGACTTCTTGTAATAGCTAAGTTGGAATCGACCCAGAAATCCATCAACTAATGACTGGATAAAGAAATTGTGGTATATATACATGATGGAATACTACCCAGCCATAAAAAAAGAATGAAATCCCGTCTTTTGCAACAAAATGGATGCAACTGGAAACAATTATTCTTAGTGAAATAAGCCAGTCCCCAAAAAAGGCAAATATCATGCCTTCCCTCATCAGAGGTAACTAATAAGATACAAAACAAATGCAATGTATATGAGCAAAATTGACATTCTGAGATTTGACTACTGTTTACAGCCCTTGTTTCTACTGTTGAGGAACAGTGTTTTTTTTCCTTCTTCTTCTTCTTATTTGTTGAATTCTTCACTTAGTTGAGGGTTTTAAACTTACGATTATAAAATAATCTGAAAGTGTTATTGTAAAAATGAAAATGCAAAATAAGACAGGAAGCAGGAGGGAGGGTGGGAGCATGGCGGGGGATGGAGGGTAGGGTGGGAAGTACCACTATACTCCAAATTTGTATATAAGAAATACATGAAATTTGTTCATCTCATATAAATAAAAATATTTTTAAAAAGTAAAGCTTCTATTGAAATTAATTAAAGAGCATGGAGAAGTCCTTTTATTTACTTGGTAACTTATTTGCTTACCTGTCATTTTTAAAAATTTTAAATGTAAAGTGACAAAGATAGATAGAGAGATCTCCCATCCAATAGTTCACTCCTCAAATACATTCAACAGGCACCCTAGGCCAGGATGAAGCTAGAAACCCAGAAACTTAGTCCATGTATCCTTCGTGGGTGGCAGGGACTCAACTACTTGAGCCATCATCTGCTATCTCCCAGGGTAGGCACCAAGAATAAGGTGGAATTAGGGGTGGAGTCAGGATTCAAACTCAGGTACTCTGATATGGGATGTGTGTGCATTAACATGCCTTTTTTTAAAATATTCATTTATTTATTTGAAAGGCAGAGTTACAGAGAGAGAGGGAGGGAGGAGAGAGAGAGAGAGAGAGAGAGAGAGAGAGAGAGAGAGAGAGAGAGATCTTCTACCTGCTGGTTCACTCCCCAGATGGACACAACAGCCAGAGCTGCACTGATCTGAAGCCAGGATCCAGGAGCTTCTTCCAGGTCTCCCATGCAGGTGCAGGGGCCCAAGGGCTTAAGCCATCTTCTACTGCCTTCCCAGGCTACTAGCAGAGAGCTGGATCAGAAGTAGAGCTGCGGGACTCAAGCTGGCACCCACATGGGATGCCAGCACTGCAGATGGTGGTTTTACCTGCTATGCCACACAGCACCAACCCCTTAACGTGCCTCTTACCAGCTGCACAAAGAGCCTACCCAGAAAGGCTCTTTTCAAGCAAGGTTTCACTCACTGCTTTTTTTTTTTTTTTTAAGATTTATTTATCTATTTGAAAGTCAAAGTTACAGAAAGAGGAACAGAGGGAAGGAGAAAGAAAGTAGGAGAGACAGACAGTGAATGAGCTTCCATGCTCTGGTCTACACCCCAGGTGGCCACAAAGGCCAGGGCTCAGCCAGGCTGAAGCCAGGAGCCAAGAGCCTCATCCATATCCCTGATGGGGGCAGCAGGGACCCAAACACCAGGTCATCCTCAGCTGCCTTTCCCAGGCCACCAGCATAGAGCTACGTCAGAAGTAGGGCAGCTAGGACTCAAACTGGCACATGCACTGGCTGCCGGGGGTTGCCAGCAGCACCCCTCACCCACTAAGCCACAGCATTAATCCCTTCCAATTGCTTTTGTTCCTGCAAAAGCCAAATAAATATTCAACTAATCAAATGACCTTAAACAAAACCCTGGATGGTGAGAATAATTTTTTCATGATATTATAGTAGTTCAATCACATGAAAGTGAAAGGAAACAGGACTACACTTAAGAATACTAAATCTTACACATTCAAAGAATCACTTTTTATTTTTCAAAACAGTGATTTTGTGATTTACAGGTTTACTGTCACGAACAGCTACTTAAATACATCAAAATCACCTTTTAATTTCCTTCAGAACTGTATTCCATTCTTTTAAATATACTCGAAAGGTGAATTTTATTTGGGGAGGGAGGACTATGAAAAATACATATACAATATAAATAATCAAGGTGAGTCATAACATTTGGTTAAGAATGAGATGGAAATAGAATATGAGAAAATTTTTATGTGATTCATAACTAGCTTTTAAAAGTAAATTCTAAACAAGAGCTGTATAATATCTCTAAACAACAGCAATATCACTGGAGTAACTGGAAAGTTTATCAGCTTATTATCAACTCCCATTGTCTAATTTAAATGCAGATGTTCTTGGCTGTCAATGTTTTACACTTACTCCTTAAAGATACATTCTAAAAGGATTTTTTTTTACCAATTTATTATTATTTCTAAGGTAAATCCCACATTGGACATTGCTGAAAACCCTTCAAAATTATTCATTTAGAAGTGAAACTTTGTTAATAATAGATTCAAAAATAATCTACAAATAGATACAATGTATCTGAAAAAGGAACAATTTGATTTGATCTGATCTGCTTTTTTTTCACATTCAGTTTGTAACTTTCCCCACAGCTAATTCTTTATATAATTTCCTTTAAGCCCTAGTCTTTCTACCTAATAGACATATATAGTTTGCTCTCTTATTTGTTTTTATCACACCCCAGATAATAAGTCTTCTTGATGTTTTAATGTAATTTAGGTGTTCTTTAGAAAAGACATTTCCTTTATTAGATGAAATTCATAGTTATTGTTATGAGTTATTTTAAGTATGGTAACCTAATATTTTTAAATAGGTACCATCTGTTATAAACATCATTTTCATTCAATAAAAGATCAAAAAGGGTATAAATTTGAAGAACATGAAAGTTTTGAGAAAATTATGAAGAGCTCATTAGCTACCTTCTTTTTTAATTTTAATTTTAATTTTTCACTTTATTTGAAAGGCAAAGACAAACAAAAAGATCTTTCATCCACTGGTTCACTACCCAAATGCCCAATAACAGTGAGGCCTGAGCCAGGTGAAACCAGGATCTCAGAATTAAATCCAAGTCTCTCCAGTGGGAGACACAGGACCTCAGTACTTGAGCCATCTTCTGCTGCCTTTCCTAGTACGCATTAGCAGGAAGCTAGATTGGAAGCAGAGTAACAGGGACCTGAACCAGGCACTCTGATATAGGATGTGAGTGTACCAAGCAATATCTTTTTTTTTTTTTTTTTTTTTTTTTTTTTTTTTTTTTTTTTTGTGACAGGCAGAGTGGACAGTGAGAGAGAGAGAGAGACAGAGAGAAAGGTCTTCCTTTGCCATTGGTTCACCCTCCAATGGCCGCCGCGGAGGCGCGCTGCGGCCGGCACACTGCGCTGATCCGGTGGCAGGAGCCAGGAGCCAGGTGCTTTTCCTGGTCTCCCATGGGGTGCAGGGCCCAAGCACCTGGGCCATCCTCCACTGCACTCCCTGGCCACAGCAGAGAGCTGGCCTGGAAGAAGGGCAACCGGGACAGAATCCGGCGCCCCGACCGGGACTAGAACCCGGTGTGCCGGCGCCGCTAGGCGGAGGATTAGCCTAGTGAGCCACGGCGCCGGCTCCAAGCAATATCTTAACAGCTGTTTCAAATACCTGCCCCTCATTCACTAACTTCTAATCTGTTAATCTAATCTAATCTTTTAATCTGTTGAACATTTTATGAACTATAAATGATATATCTATTTTTTCAAAATTAAAATAAACATGAAATCTATTGTTTTGTCTGTACTATATGCAAATATGTTTCTGGATTCAGATTCTAGTTTTATGAGAAAATATTCTATCTAATTTATCATCCTTGACAAAATGTAAAAGTTCTTATTGCCTTGAAATAGGTGTTCAATTATGATCACAAATACATTTTTCAATTTTACATACAATAGAAAGGTAACTATACTATAAACATCAAATTTTTCAATTTAGATATATAATGGACAAAATTATTTTATTTAGATGTAAGACTTCTTAACATAAGTGAAAGCTTGAGGTTAGAATATTCAAAGTTTGTGCAATAATTATTTTTAATAACCTAGTTAATATTAGAATACCATTAGAATTTCATAGCATTTATTATCTAATTATTAAAGTATCACAGTAAAAAAAATATGTTAAGTATATTTTGCGACATCTTATAAATGATTTCTCTTTAAAAATTAAATTTATATATCTATATTTCAGAGTAAGTTACATGTCCATTCTTTTTATGCTATAGTGAGAAACCAAGGACTCTCACTACGGTGCAAAGGCAGGCAGGAAATGCTCATTCCTCTATTTTCACTCTATATTTCAAGACCTTTGCTAAATTTACATACAAAGAAAGGCTTTGTAATACTCAAAGGACAAACAGCATACGCAGCTCTGCAACTGTGCTTAGCAGCCAAAGTTTGCCAGGTGCAGTCAGATCTCCCCACACCCACCCCAAAAGGATTTGGCCTAGGGGTTTGGGACAGGTTAGGAGAGATTGGTTGTACATGGAATACATCAGGTAGTGATCATTCTGTGCAGTACAAACACCCAAGGAGTCCTTCCGTGATCTCAGAGCCGGTACAGGGACAGGAGTTAATCTCACCCTGCAGTGACCCGCCTGGAACTGGCTACCTTAGGGATGACTCACTCTCCCAGCCCCTCAGTCCAATTAAAGAAATATTCACTAGTAAATAATCTGAAAAGTGATTCTTTGTAATAAAACACATTTAAATGTAATTTTGGCCTTAACAGAAAGATAACCACTTAATGATAGGGACAAATACTATGTTATTTAGCAAAATTGTGTAATTTAAAAATCTTGCCTACATTTAAGAAGTTCCATCTACTTAACACAAAAACAATCTGCTTACAGAGACTGCATGTTTCTTCTCCATTGCATTTATTTGTTTGCCCATTTCCTTTATTATCTTCTGTTAGAAAACTGTTGCTAGCATTAATTTGTTTATTCTAAATATGCTGGCAAAGATCCATTAGATTTATTGCCAGACTCCCTGGTGCCCATGAATATGATCCTCAAGATATTAAAGGGAAATCAAGTTTTTGCCATTTTTGAACTGTCTCGACATTAGCAGCTACTGTTTAGAACCTGTTGGAAATTAGCTAGAATACGAAGCAATTCTGACATGTACCAGCTGACAATTAAATTCTGAATCTGATGCTGATTAGTGAAAGCACAGCAGTTACTGAATAATACCCAAGGCAACCACTATCCATACTTAGGATAAAAAATATTTTCATGTCCTTTTGTCACCCACAACATTAAGCACAAAGTACAACAGCACCTGCTCCTGAGCTGTATCAGAGCAAGAAGGGAAAACAAACTATTTCAAGGTATTACATGGGGTGGGCTATGAAGGCTTTTTTTCCCAGGTAGTAGAGGATTCATTTTCATTTTGATCTCCAAGGAACATGCAGGGGCTCCCATCAAATGGGTTTTATAAAGCTCTTCCAGTGCTGCAGATCAGAGACAAAAAACTTCGGAGAAAGAGAGCACAGCAGCTATATTGCATTGCACAATCGTGGCTCGCACTTTACAGGGTATATGGGGAGAAAGACAGGAACTCCTTGGAAATACACTAGCTGGTGTGAACTTGATACTTCAAATAGGTAATTAGGTAAAGATTAAGACTTTGTAATTAGAGACCTCAAACAACAACAACAACAAGGAGGACTCAGAGTATACATCTCTAAAGAGTTCAGAATCTTTTCCACAGCAGCTTAAGTGCTCTTACAGAGTAATAAATGAAGTTTATATGTGAAGAGAAAAGGCTTAATTCTGCCTGGGATAGCAGCTCATAGGTGAACTGACATTTGAGTCAAGCTTGTAGGAATGAAAGGGATTTCATTACGTGTGAAAGAGGAAAGGCAAATTCTTTCCAGTTAGGGGAATGGGATGAAAAAAGACACACACCAAGATGATGTGTACACCTCACTGGAAACAACATAGGAGCTATCTAGAACATCTGTATTTAAGATTTGGTGAATGGCTTGATATAAAGCTGGAAAGATAAAAAAAAAAAAAGTCCATGTGTAAAAGTCTTGGAATATCATCTGAAGGAACTCATTTTATTCTGCTATTTGAGGCCGGTGCTGTGGTGAGTAGGCTAAGCCTCCGTTTGTGGCGCCTACATACCATATAGTACCAGTTCGACACCCGGCTGCTCCACTTCTGATCCAGCTCTCTGTTATGGCCTGGGAAAGCAGTGGAAGATGGCCCAGGTCCTTGGGCCCCTGCACCCATGTAAAAGACCTGGAAGAAGCTCCTGGCTCCTGGCTTTGGATTGGCGCAGCTCCAGCCATTGTAGACATTTGGGAAATGAACCTGAGGATAGAAGACCTCTCTTTCTCACTCTCTCCCTCTGTCTGTAGATCTGCCTCACAAAATAATAAATAAATCTTTTAAAAAATAAAAATTTGAAAAAATAAATGTCTGAGAATTTCTGAGAAATGCAGCATCATATCTTCACTACTCTCCATACCCCTCTGTAAGACTAGAAGCCGCATTTGGGATTGGAGTATTTATTCCTTAAGCGGAGAAGTTAACTAATGTTGGCTTATTAATTTCCACATAAGCTGTTATCCTATTTTAACAAATCTTGGCTGACAATATGGAATACCAACTGGACAACTTAATATATATATATATATATAAAGAATAAAAAAGGTGTGGATGTTGTGTTTGGTATACAGCTGTAAATGTTGTCTTCACTGAGTTATAGAATCAGTATATACACTTCATTCACTTTATGATCTTTGTCATGAATCCCATGTTATATGATACTAATATTCCCGCTTTCAAGAAAAATAGCAGTATGCGCATATATATAATGTTACATATGATGTGAATATCACAAAATGCTAAAAATTGTTCTAAAAACAGATACATAAAAATTTTTAAAAATAAAAGAATACACACAATGATCCGTGTCCCACATAACAGAGAGAGAGAGAGAGAGAGAGAGAGACTAAAGGACTCCTTAAGAGGTTACTGGAGCTAGCAGGAAAAAGAAGTCATTTTACAAAGGAAGGCAAATGGTTTGGGAGATGGATGTAAAAGACCTTGAAGAAGCAGAATTGATAGCATTTGGTGATTGGCTGGAGATCCAAAATAAAGGAGAATTTCACAACTTGAAAGAGCAGGTTGATGGTGATATTTTCATCAAAGATAAAAAATCTTTGATGAGTAGGAGGTGTGAGGGTTGAGGTGATTTTCAGTACCAATACTGACTTTTTTGACATACAATTACTTAAAATAATTGTTCAACTTTCAAGGGGGAACATCTAACATAGGGCTGGAACTTAGGAGAGATCAACTAGAGATGTCAGCAAACCCAAATATTTGCTTAGGTTTCACAGATATGACTTGATGTTAGAAATCACATCTCCAATTAAATTACAAACTCAACCAACACTATTTTAGGAAGATTTATTTATTTTTTGAAAAGCAGAGTTACAGAGAGAGAGAGAGAGAGAGAGAGAGATCGTCCATCCACTGGTTCACTCCCCAAATGACCACAACAGGCCGAAGCCAGGAGCCAGGAGATTCATTTAAATCTCCCACATTGGTCGCAGGGGCCCAAGTACATGGGCCATCTTCTGCTGCCTTCGCAAGTGCAGGGAGCTAGATGAGAATCGGAGCAGCTGGGCTTCAAACCAGTGCTCATATGGGATGCCAGTCTTGCAGGTGGTGGCTTAACCTGTTGTGCTACAATATCAGCCCCCACACCAATAGTTTTATGTATTCCTTCTGCCATCGGACTTTAAGTCTATTTATTCTGTAAATATTACTGAGCACATATAATATGTCAGGTGTAGTATTGGGTCTGGAGATATGGTAAACGGAGAGAAAGTGTTCCTGTTCTCACAAAGATTATCTTCCAATGGAAAACTAATCAAAACCAAATAAGTAATATATAATAACATCTCAATTATGAAAAAATGTGTTGAAGAAAAATAAGGCAGGGAGGGAGAAGAAAATGTATTCCTTAAGCTAAATATTTACAGTCTATAGTTGAGATTTAAACTAAGGACTAATTGATGACTTTTATTCTTTCCATTGTGGATAATAAGTAAAAGTCAAGTGAATTATCTGTCTCAAGGAAGAGGCTTTTCAGATGAGATGGACTGGCAAGGTTTTCTGGTAAATATCCTTAATCTCTAGTGGAGAGCTGTGACCTCAATTTAGTTATAAAACACCCATGTTCATTAGTGTGAGCAACAGTCCCCAGAAGGGCTCTCAGCTCTGCTGCAAGGCACAAGAAGCTGTATGAAATAACTAGAGCTAGACAAAGGATACTCACCAACCTGGAAATTCACTATAATCTTTACCAAATGTAATTTTTCTTTTATTCAGTTTTTTTTAAATAATGTATATAGGTGGTTGAATAATTTTTTCTATCGTTCATTGAAATCCTAATTGGAACTCATCATGTGGTTATACCTGAACTTAATAAAGTCTTTATTATGTAAAGTATAAGGAAGTGCAGTAAGAACTAACAGGAATATGCAGCAAAGCAAAAACTCACTGGACTTTCATCTGTGGAGGATACTCCTAATGAGCCTGTCAAGGCAAGCTACCGGGGTTCTATTAGTTGAATATACTTCTACCCAAATGTCAGTATGGTCATAATTTAATATGAAGAATAATTCTGTAAGTATAGATGAACTCATGCTGGGAATGTGTCAGAGATGTGCTTTCAATGGTAGTTCTAGAAGCTATTATGTCAGGTAGAATTACATGTAAGTAATCAAACACTCAGAGTCTCAGTTTGACAACAGTGAAAAACAGACAAGTTTTTTTTTTTTTTTTTCGGACAGGCAGAGTAGACAGTGAGAGAGGAGACAGAGAGAAAGGTCTTCCTTTTCCGTTGGCTCACCCTGCAATGGCCACTGCAGCCGGTGTGCTGCGGCCAGCACACCGCACTGATCCGAAGCCAGGAGCCAGGTACTTATCCTGGTCTTCCATGCGGGTGCAGGGCCCAAGCACTTGGGCCATCCTCCACTGCCTTCCCGGGCCACAGCAGAGAGCTGGACTGGAAGAGAAGCAACCAGGACAGAATCCGGCACACCAACCGGGACTAGAACCCGGGGTGTTGGCGCTGCAGGCGGAGGATTAGCCTATTGAGCTGCAGCACCGGCTCAGACAAATATTTTTAAAGCCCATCCAGGTGATGGGATTCAAAGTTGTGCTAGGCTTGATGCTGCATGCCACTCACTCCAAAGATGGATTCTCTTGTCTTTTTGAAACATCTTCTTGTTGGTTTCTCAAACCTCAGACTGTATGGATTTCTTCTCCTCTCTGACTATTCCTTTGTTGGTTTCTCTGTAAGCTCATTATCTTCTCCCTACCAATAAATGTTGTCATTCCACCAGATTTCATTCCAGACCTGATACTCCTTTCATGTTAAAATCTCTAAGTAGTTTAGTTCAATCATTTAACAAATATTTGTATGTGCTGAATGTCTTCTGCATATTGCGATACAACAGATTAAAAAACAGATAAAATTTGTATTCATGGAGAACTGACACTGTAGCAGGTTTCAGCTACCATACACACGAGTGACCTCCAAGTTTATATCTCCTGTATCCATCTGTTCTCTGTGCTCCAGATTCATCCAATGACTAATTCTCCACTTGGAAGTTTCAGAAGCATCTCAAGTTCAACAAGAGTACTGGTAGAGTTCAACAAATGGTACTGGTAGAGAGGGCGTAACATTTTGACTCCAGTATTGTCCACCTCAAGAATAGCATTTTGGGGACCAGTGCTGTGGCACAGCAGGTTAAGCCACAGTCTGCAGCGCCAGCATCCCATGTGGTCGCAGGTTCAAGTCCCAGTTGCTCCACTTCTTATCCAACTCCCTGCTAATATGTCAGTAAAAGCAGCACAGGATGGCCTGTTCTTGGGTCTCTGCACCCACTTGGGAGACCCAAAGAAATCTTTGGCTCCTGGCTCGTGGTTTCTGGCTTCAGCCTTGCCCAGCCTGGGTCATTGTAGCCATTTGGGGAGTGAAACAGTGGTTGTAAGACCTCTCTGTCTCTCCTTCTCTCTGTAAATAACTCTGCCTTTCAAATAAATAATCATTAAAAAAAGAATACCAACTTTAAGTTAGAAAATTTCCTTCTTCCTAGAAGACCCGGAAGTATAGGACCAATCCCATCAACTTCATCATAAATATCAAAGAATTCTCTCAAACTGCACTGCCACCATCCCTCTGGAGGTTGCTTTACCGCTCATTAAAGAGATGTACTTTTTCCCTACTCCAGTTCTACATAGCCAGATGATGTATTAAAACGCAGATCTGATCATGTCCAGCCATTTGGGATAAAGGCCAAACCCCTTCACAGAGCCCAGCAGACCTGGAATGATTTGGCTTCCTTCCTCTTCTCTCATTCCACATGCACTGCTCTCATGCTTGCACTCTGACTTCAGCCAACCCGTGCTCTTTGATTCTCAAACCTTCCAAATGCTTTCCATCCTTTGCCCATGCTGATCTCTATTCTTCTCTCCAGGAGCTTAACTCCTAGCCATTCTTTGGATTTCAGCCCAAAGTTCACCTCCTCAGAGAAGCTGTGTGAGTCGGCTAACCTCAGTAACCAAATGCCATGGCTGGGTATTTTAGTAAGAAAACAAAAAGTTTTAGCCCAGAAGCCTAAACTTTTATAAAATTTGTAAGCTTTCAAAGTTGCTCAGGGATGGCATAGTAGCTCAGTAGATTAAAATGCCACTTAGGATGCCTACTTCCTATATCAGAGCGCGTGGGTTTCAGTCCCACCTCTGCTTTCGGTCCAGTTTCTGGCTAATGTACACTTCGGGAGACAGTAGATGATTGCTGTCATACTTGGGTCCCTGCCACTGATGTGGGAGACCCACATGGAGTTTCTGGCTCCTGCCCCTGGCATGGCACAGCCTGGGTTGTTGTGAGCATTTGTGGAATGAACCAGCAGATGGAAAATTTTTCTCTCTCTTTGACACTCTGCCTTTCAAATAAACACAAATAAACACTTAAAAACTGCTTAAACAGCAGACATTGATTTCCTTGGTTCTGTAGGCTCAAAGACCAAGATCAAGTGTTGCAGCGTTGGTTTCTCCAGGCCTCTTTGCTTAGCTTGCACATGGCCACCTTGTTTCTCACTGCATCTCACATGGCCTTTCCTCCATATGCACATTTCTTTTACGACACTTCCATTGCTTACTGGGAGGGCACTGGTCCTACTCAACTAGAGCCCCATCCTTATGACCATACTGGACTTCAATTATATATTTAAAGGCCTTATCTAAATATATAGCCACATCAGAAATTAAGTGAATTTTCAATGAGGGGTTGAGGATGTGGGGAGAGGAGCAATTCAGGTCCTAAAGGAATCCTACCCTGAATCCTCAGATTGGGCTCTAAGTTACATATTCTCTTAAGATCTTGTATTTTGTTATAATGCACTTTCTTTAGGTTGAAATAACCAGCTTTTTTTCTAAGATCTGGCCCCTTCCTATTGCTCTGATCTTACTTCCTATAGCTCTCCCCTTCACTCACTTCATTTCTCTTGCTAATCCTCTAAGAAGTCAGGCACTTGCTGTCTAAACTTCTGTTTTCATGTCAGGATGAGATCTTTCTTCATTCAGGTCTCTGTTCAAATATCTTCCCCTGGAGAGGCCTTCCCTGATTACTGTGACTTTAAACATATTATCCCCAATGCCCAAATTTTCCATGCCTCGACATTCATTTTTATTGATAGCACCACCCTCCATGATAAAATCTATTTATTTGTCTACTGTCCTATTTGTCCACCAGCATATAAGCTTCATGGATTCAGTCTATGGGTTCTTTAAATGCACTAGAGGTCCAGAACATAGGGGGCACTCAATATGTATTCTTTTGAATGGACTAACGGCATAGTTATTTGATACTTATCTGTTTTCTCAGTGATGCTGTCATCTCTGTAGCATAGGAAGAATGACCAGTATGCTCACCAGTCACCAGCACTCAAGACCTAGTCATTGGTACATGGATTATACTTAGTAAATATATGCTGAATGAATAAATTTTTTTAAAAAAGCAAAAGTAGTGAAAGTTTATAGAAAACATCTTGAAACAATTTTCAGGACATCAAGAGAAGTTGTTATAGTTCTAGCTATTTCTCAATTTATTTTGATTTAACAGGGGTACACCCTCAGTTTAAGCATCTCTTTTCTGGGCCAAATCTCTGTTAGGGGCCATAAAACTGCCATCAGAGTGCTATGAAAATTATAGGAGAAAGAGAATAATAGTATTTTTATTTCTAGAAATATTTCCTCTCCAAGGACCAAGTGTAACCCGATTAGTGTTTATTTGAATGTCTTGAGTTCACCAATGAATGAGATTCCAAGACCAAATTATCTGGGTGTTTTCTATAGATTGAAATAAATGTCCTAAAAACAAGGCAATAAAAGCACACAGTTAGAAAGACTTCTGCCACCAAACCATTACTAAGAAAGTGGGTAAGTTATCTATGTCTATGTTATTGTTAAAGAATCTTAAAAAAAAAGAAAGATAATCAATACTATAAATAGACTATTTATTATTTTGGAAGGTGTCAAAATCAAGCATAACAATAAAAACTACATATGTAATATTTCCAAAATATGCTAGGAATCAGAGTACTCATTGAAAAATACATGGGAGGCTGGTATTGTGGCATAGTGGGTTATGACATTGCCTGTGATGCCAGCATCCCATTTAGGTGCCAGCTCAAGTTCTAACTGTTCCATTCCCACCCAAGTACTGGGCTCTTGTACCTATTTGTAAGTCCTGTAAGAAGTCCTGGCTCCTGTCTTCAGCCCAGCTCAGTCTTAGAAGTTGTGGTTTTTGGGGAGTGAAGTAACAGAGGAAGCTCTCTCTCTTTCTTTCTCTCTCTCTCTCTCTCTCTCTCTCTTTGTGTGTGGGTGTGTGTGGGTGTGTGGGTGGGTGGGTGTGTCTTTATAACTCTGCCTTTAAAATAAATATTTTTTAAAAATAAGAAAAATGCATGAATGATACAAAAGGGGAACTGCACTGATTGCCACTTTTCATTTGCTATTTTCATTTCTGCATCTAGGGGAAAATCTGACAAAAATTACTCATTCAATAACCCTAAATGTAACTTTTTTCTCTTTAAGACTTTTTTTTGTTGTTTTTACTTATTTTACAGGTAGAGTTATAGACAGTGAGAGAGAGACAGAGAGAAAGGTCTTCCTTCCATTGGTTCACCCCCCAAAATGGCCTCTTCAGTCAGCGCTGTGCCGATCCGAAGCCAGGAGCCAGGGGCTTCCTCCTGGTCTCCCATGCGGGTACAGAGTCAAAGCACTTGGGCCATCCTCCACTGCCCTCCCGGGCCACAGCAGAGAGCTGGACTGGAAGAGGAGCAACCGGGATTAGAACCCAGTGCCCATATGGGATTCTGGCACCGCAGATGGAGGATTAGCCAAGTGAACCACAGCGCCGGCCCCACTTTTTTCTCTCTTTTAATAAGGAAAAACTCCAAACAATGTCATGTCTTTAATACCATCCAAAAGAACCTTCCCTTTTATATTTCAACTTTTTTTTCTAAATTTTGCTCTAACCTAACTCCTTTCCATTTCAGATTTTAATACTAACAAAATACAAGGTCTCCATTTGAGCAACTATTTGAAAAATATAGATGAGGATTTCTCATTTAATTGTAATTAAAATATAAGTATCAAAAAATACATTGGCAAAAACAAAGCAAATCTTTATCCCAAGAGGAATAATAAAAGGTAAAGACTGGTGAATAGCAAAAAAATCAAAGGTACATTTAGCGTCAATAAACATAGTTGCAACCAAAAAATCAAAGTACTGTGATAAATACAGTGTAGATTCAGTTTATCTTTGTTTTGTGGAGCAGCCATGTGAACATTTAAAGAACTAAGTTTTCAGATCACTCCTGGCTATCTCTGGAGTATTACTTTAATCAGACATAGTAGAAAGAAAGAGGGGGATTACATGTATTTGTGTTCAATGATTGAATCCCTAGATATTCTTTCTTCTGAGAAAATATATACGATTGTTGGTTGTTTTCAGTCAAATGTAACATCTATTTAAGCAAGATTTAACCTTGGTACTCTTGACATTGCAGTACTCATTCATTGACATTAGTACTCATTCATTGACATTAGTACTCATTCATTGCAGTGCTTTCCTGTGTTTTGCAGGTAGTTTAGTAGCATCCAAGGCATCTATTCATTAGACGTCAGTAGGATTTCCTTTCTGGTTGTGTTGACCAAAAATGTCTTTAGATTTTTCCATATATTCCTTTGAAGGCCAAAACTCTCTATGATCAAGACATGTAATTTTCACAGTAAACTTTAAAATTTACTGAATTAATGATTATTCATTAAGCACCTCATGTGTGTCTCTGTATCCTCTACGGGGATCAAGAGAAAGCTAAATGGAGCTCCTTCTTCTAAAGCTGGGCCCATGGTAAGGGACAGTATCACTGAAGTAACAATAGAAGCTATTATCGATGAGTCTATATGTCCTACATTGATACTGGCATGCCTCTGAAGCTGGTAAGGGTATTTGAAAAAACATAGGAAGAGAAAATTACCTTTCAAGTGGTGCACAGAACTTGGCTACAAAACCCCAAAGTAGAATTGGCTGAAATGAGCATGACAGATACCAAACAAAGAATGAAGAGAATTCTTTAGGAGCTGTAAGAAGGCAGTTTCTCCAGAACTATGGCAGGAAATCAATGGGGGATCATATAAGGTTAAGTAGGAGGTGAATTTCTTAAAAATGGTGGCTGAACTCAAAGGGGTATTATGACCTTATCCAAAAGTATAAGGTCCTAGACTAGCAGTTGGACAGCAGATGATGGGAGTTATCAAGGGTGGGGACACATTTTCAAGATTAAAAAAAATTGGTTGGGAAAATCTAAATCTTAAATGGGGAAAAATTACAGTTTTGGAGCTAAATTTGGGTAACAGGCCAGGTCAGGGCAAGACTCTTGAATGTGTTGAATGATTGCATAAAAATGCCAGATGTCAGCTGTGGACCTTGGATGCTTGTCCACTTGGTCTGGATAGCTAGTGAAAGCAAATGCTTCTGACTTGGATTTCATTAAAGTTATGTATCTACTGAACCATTCAACACATACATTTAAATTATAATTGGTATCTAGCTTATATTCTGTTCTAAATTAACTATTGTCAGGTTAATGTATAATTTAAATTCCAGGAGATTCAAAGATTATGAAATAAATTGATCCTTAAGCATTTTATCAAGGCCACAATTTTTCTGAAGGGCTATTTTTGAATGTTTTAAATACTGTTCATTTCAATAACAAATATAAATTTTATTTCATTTCTAACTAAATCTAGATTGTAAAGTATAATAATGACTTTTTAAATGTATAAACACATGCATATAATCAAAAGCTGGATAACAGCTACAAATGAGGCAAAAATGATCACTTACAAAATACTCTGATTATTAAGAAAAATTGATACTGACATAATAATTTAATTAGAGCATGTGCCTAAATATTTATAACAGTATTTATCAACACTGATTGTCTAGTGAGATAGTAAAATTAATGAGATTCCAAATTTCAAATTTAGTAAAGGAAAAGGCTAAAACCTTTTAAAAGTAGGTGGCTTTGCAAATATGCAAACAAATCCCATCTTCAGAGGAGCTAATTATTCTGAATTAGAAACACTGTTTAGGCCGGCGCTGCGGCTCACTAGGCTAATCCTCCGCCTTGCAGCGCCGGCACACCGGGTTCTAGTCCCGGTCGGGGCGCCGGATTCTGTCCCGGTTGCCCTTCTTCCAGGCCAGCCCTCTGCTGTGGCCAGGGAGTGCAGTGGAGGATGGCCCAGGTGCTTGGGCCCTGCACCCCATGGGAGACCAGGAAAAGCACCTGGTTCCTGGCTCCTGCCATCGGATCAGCACAGTGCACCGGCCGCGGCGGCCATTGGAGGGTGAACCAACGGCAAAGGAAGACCTTTCTCTCTGTCTCTCTCTCTCACTGTCCACTCTGCCTGTCAAAAAATAAAAAAAAAAATTAAAAAAGTGAGACAGGAATACCCATTAGAATATAATTTTATATCTTGCACTAAAATTCTTACTTTGATCATTTATTTCAGGGAATTTGTACCAGTTAGTATGGTCCCAATAGTAAAAACTAGCTTTTAGATTTAAGTATTTAAAGTATAAAATCTGATATATTTTTCCTGTTGTTAAAAATTAAGTCTGATAATTTCTTTGAAATTTCTTAACTGACCATAAAATCCTATAGAAGACATTAACTTTCACAGTTTTTCTTTTATCTTATTGGCTTTGCTTTACATAAAAAAAGCCCACAGTAAAGCCTCTAGGAATATTTTTAAGAATATTTGCACAAAAAATGTTCCAACATCTCAGTCTACACCTACTCAAACATTCCTATTCTTAACAAAATCTACACGAGGAACTAAATGGTATTACTTTTATTCTGTAGAGGCTATTGTAGCTTGGCAAAGTGTGTCTGTCCTAACCATACTTATCAAACATTAAAAAAAGCAGTAAATGAAACCAACATGAAGATATATTTTAGTTTTAGTTTCAGTGGTTTAACCTTATTGATGCCTAGCAGACTTGCAGTGAATTCTAATGACCCAGGATATCTGTCCTCAAAATTGGGCCATCTAGACTGGAGTAAATAAATGGTTATTTAGGATACCCTAGGAAACAAGTACCAAGAATGTCATCATCTCACTGTGCAGTTAAGGAAATTGATGTGGATGGGATTTGAACTCAAAAAGTAATGAAAGCACATCAAGTGATAGAAATAAACTGAGCAAAGACAGAGAGGAAAAAAAACAAGAAGTCATCAGAAACAACAGAAACAATGATTATGTCAGTTTATTTGGAGAAAAGGTAGCATGAAAGATTCAAATTGGAAAGTACTTGAAAAGCAATCTAGGCCAGCACCGCGGCTCACTTGGCTAATCCTCCGCCTGCGGCACTGGCACCCTAGGTTCTAGTCCCGGTTGGGGCGCCGGTTCTGTCCCAGTTGCTCTTCCAGTCTAGCTCTCTGCTGTGGCCCAGGAGAGCAGTGGAGGATGGCCCAAGTGCTTGGGCCCTGCACCCGCATGGGAGACCAGGAGGAAGCACCTGGCTCCTGCCTTGGGATCGGCGCAGTGCGCCGGCCGCAGAAGCCATTTGGGGGATGAACCAATGGAAGGAAGTCCTTTCTCTCTGTCTCTCTCTCTCTCACTGTCCACTCTGCCTGTCAAAAAAAAAAAAAAAAAAAGGCAATCTAAGTTGGGTCCCTATGTTTCTGAATTGAGGGCAACGTAATAAAACTTAGAACTACAGCACCTTCACTGGAAATTACTTTATAGATATCTTTTAATGCCATAGCATCACAATCATCCTTTAAATGTAGTAAGGTCAGAGAGGTAAAGAAAGAAAAAGAGAAAGAGCTATTATATTCTATGTAGCATCAGTGAATCAAGAGATTTAGAATAGGATCAAGCATCCATTTTTTAAAAAGATGTATTTATCTATTTGAGAGGCAGAGTTACAGACAGAGAGAGGGAGAGACAGAGAGAGAAAGATCTTCCAATTGTTGATTCACTCCCTAGAAGGCTGCAACGGCCAGGAACCAGGAGCTTCTTCCAGGTGTCCCACGTGGGTGCAGGGCCGAAGCACTTGGGCCATCCTCTACTGCTTTCCCAGGCCATTAGCAGGAAGCTGGATCTTTTCTTTTCTTTTTTCTTTCTTACTTTCTTTCTTTTTTTGACAGATAGAGTTAGACAGTGACAGAGCCAAAGGTCTTCCTTCCGTTGGTTCACCCCTCAAATGGCCGCTATGGCCAGAACTAGGCCGATTGGAAGCCAGGAGCCAGGTGCTTTCTCCAGGTCTCTCATGCAGGTGCAGGGGCCCAAGCACTTGGGCCATGCTCCACTGCCTTCCCAGGCCACAGCAGAGAGCTGAACTGGAAGAAGAGGAACCGGGACAGAACTGGTGCCCAAACCAGGATTAGAACCTGGGGTGCCGGCACCACAGGCGGAGGATTAGCCAAGTGAGCCATAGCGCTGGCCTGCAAATACCTTTTTAATCACTGAACAACAGCCATTTTCAGAAAAATCAAGACAATATTTTTAAAAAGTAAGAATGAGATATTTGGAAAATTTTAGAACATATTTTATCCCCTTTTATTACAAAGGAGCCCCCAAATTATGTAATTAATATGGGAATAAATCCTTCTATGTGACTCTATTTTGGCAAAATTGCTAACATATAGGAGTAAGCAAAGAAAGTCATTATTGCAGTTGTCTAAAAAAAATATACTATCCTCTCTTACATGTATCCCATCACGGCTTTCCCCAGGTGACTTTTGGGAAATCAAGAGAATAAAACAGGACAATTCACAAAGGCATAATAAAAAGACACATGTTGTGGATATATTATTTAAACACTTAAACAGTGAGCTTACAAATATTCCAGTTTGATCTTTTTCAGTTTCAGAAACCAATCTTTTTTAGAAGTTTACATGATTCCACTATCATTAAGGAGAAATATTTCTCTAAATATTTATGACTGAATACATCAAAAAGGTAATTATCTTTCCTATGACCCAATTATGATCATGAAAAGCTATCTGAAAATTATTAAGCTTTGCCAGAGAACAGAAATGACTGGTAACAACGTTAAGTACATAACACCTTATGTTATGTGTAGCTATCAGTACTAAGAGAGAACTAATTTAGGATTCACATTTATTTTAATGGGAATATGTGGTTTGGCCATATTTTTAAGGCACACAAAAAAATTACTACAGAATATTAGTATCTAAAAGCAGCTACAAGCAAATCATTTACTGAAATAGACCATTTTTAAAAACTTTAAGAGAAAAATATCTTAGAATGAATAGTTTTACAATTTTCACAGGAACAGAAAGTGTATCACATGTCCTCATCTTGGGTAATTACTTCCTTTACAGAGCCATGTACGTTCTTGCAACTTAGCTGAAAATCAAAGCACACATGACAAACAGAATTGGATAAATGAAAACATGTTTTAAAAATCAGATCAAATGAACAAACACCTGAAAATGCTGACATTTGATATATCTAAACCACCTGCACCCAGTGCTTTGTAGCCCGAACTTGATTCTTTGCAAATGCTTCTTTGCAAGAATTTAAGCCTTGGTTCAGGCCAAATAAAATATTTTGAAAGAAATGTTTAACTAGCTATTTTCAGCTCTTCTGGTTTTGTTGGAGTAGTATCACATTGTTCTTGTTCTTCAAAAATTAACAATTTACTGGAGAAAGCAGACATTTAATTATTAAAAACAGCATCAAAGTGTGGTAAGTGAGATATGGCCATGGGCTCACAGACAATGTCTGGAGGAGGCGACATGGGAGCTGAGACTTAAAGGAGAAATTAGAGTAGAAGAAAGAAGTGCACTAAAGGGCAGGATGGTGAAAGGCAAAGGCTTGGAAGGGTAGGACTCTGCAAGAAGTTCAAGGATGCTGGAGTGAGGCTGAGAGTCTGAGGGTGGAGCAGACGGACAATGGCCACTGCCACTCACAAGGACTGGAGTCAGCCCTAAATAGAACTTGTCTTTGTCTGCCAGTTGTGGGAAGCCACTGCAGGGTTCTAGCAGGAGGCGACATCAGGAGAACTGCATCCTATGTAGATCACCCCTGTACTGTGCAGAGGAGAGAATGGAATAAACAAACCAGTGAGGCAACTGTTGAAGGAGAGGTAAACAGGACCAGAAGCAGGTCAGTGATAGCAGGAATCGGGAGGTGGACAAAGACTAGTAAAATATTTCTAAAGGGATCAAAATTGCCTCTAACGATGTGAAAAAGCTGAACACTTGGAATGATAAATACATGAGTGATTTCATTTGGATCAGTAGAAAGTGTAGCTTTATGAAATGAAAGCATACTATAGGCCGGCACTGCGGCTCAACAGGCTAATCCTCCGCCTTGCGGCGCCGCCACACCTGGTTCTAGTCCCGGTCAGGGCACTGGATTCTGTCCCGGTTGCCCCTCTTCCAGGCCAGCTCTCTGCTGTGGCCAGGGAGTGCAGTGGAGGATGGCCCAAGTGCTTGGGCCCTGCACCCCATGGGAGACCAGGAGAAGCATCTGGCTCCTGCCTTCAGATCAGCGCGGTACACCGGCCGCAGCGGCCATTGGAGGGTGAACCAACAGCAAAGGAAGACCTTTCTCTCTGTCTCTCTCTCTCTCACTGTCCACTCTGACTGTCAAGAAAAAAAAAAAAGAAAGAAAAAAGAAAAAAAGAAAGCATACTATAAACTCATAATTTGTTTTTCAATTGCAATGAATTCCAGAAAAAGTAAACTCCTTGACAATTAGAACCTATTTTGTATCTGAATACTGCAGGGATGGGTCACAAGCTGAGGACACAGGAGAATGACGTCACAACTTATCTGATGCTACTTGGTCCTCAGGGCAGTTTTAAAGTATTTCCACAGAGAGTGGAACAAAACAAAGACACTCTTTGTTCCTTGAAATTTGAAAATACATCTTTCTCTACTTGAACCACAGCTATCTATGGCAACATTCCAAGAACTTAATATGTTTTTATCTCTTGAAAAAAAAAAAACTACATATTTTTAAACCTTCTCATATATTCCATAAGAAGAAAAAGAAGTCTGCATTTCCTCCATAATAGCCAATAATTCAGGAATGATCCTATCTCCTTCCCTTGAGCTATATGAATTAGTGACTGTATTTTGTTTCTACCTTCTGAGCAGCCCTTTGTATTACTAAATAGATTTTCATATTTTATCTTTGCGCAAAGTCACATCCAAAATGCATCTTTTTAAAAATAATTCTTTATTTGTATTTACCTGAGAGAGAGATGGAGAGAAAGATCTGCCATCCACAACAGCTGAGGCAGGGCCAGGCTAAAGCTGGGATCCTGGAACTAAGTGAGTCGCTGACACAGGTGGCAGGGACCTAACTTCTCAAGGATCACCACTGCCTTTCAGAACGCATGTCAGCAGAAAGCTGGAATGGAAAGCAAATCTGGGATTGGAACCCGACACTTGAACATGGGATGTGAGCATCCAAGTGGTGGCTTAACTGCAGCACCTAATGCCTGCAACTCTCATAATTTATCTTTATTGAAAAGTGTTTGAGAATGTTAAATTTTGCCTGAAAAAGTGTCCTAGAACAATATGTACAAATTAAAAAGAGAGGTCAAGGAAATAACCTTTATGTATTTTAAATTATTCTATAATTCTATCTTGTTACAGAAAGAATTTAACAAATCAGTTGACCATTCTTTGTATCAGTTATATATAGTGATATAATACAGTTTATTGACTGCATAAAAAGAAAAAAAACAGCCTTAATATGTTTTCCTTCCACGTGCATGAAGCATAAAGTATTTTTTTCCTTAACATGCATGAAGCACAAAATAATTCTAAGCTGTGGGATTTAAAATACTACTATTCATATTTACAAAATGGCCAAAATTGTAATTAGTTCTTTGACAGTATTTACTTTTGAGGCTAATGTAATACTATTTAGTACTTGTATTTTGGGAACTGCGAAGCTGATATCCTACTATTTGGGACTTGTATTTCAGAAGTAAAAAGTGGCCCAGAGCAATGTTTTTAAGGTTAAATTAATTAGTTTGTTTCAGAGGATCTGAAGTTGGGATAAAAGCCTTAAACACAGTGAGTTTTAGTTGACCTTTGCACATTCATTTAAAACACTGCTTGCTTTGTTAAATCTTCATAAATACAGTTGTAATTTAATGTCCTTTTACCTTGATTTGGTATTTCAGAAACAGCATAATCCAAAACATGTACCAAACCAGAATTTATTAACTACTCATTTACTCAAACTACTAAACATTTCTCCTTTTATTTTTGATTAAAGTGTCACCTGGAGATTTTGTTGCTGGTGCATGTCTAAAATCAGTTGAAGACAGGAATGCATTTAGTAAAGAGCATTGTAGTCAGATGATAAGACAGTGAGAACGTAGGATTTGTTCCTGAGTTTCAGAACATCTGATGATTCCAGGTATACTAATATATTTTTCTTAGCTAATCAGTTAAGGTAGGAGGAAAAGCTTCACATAGGTTTAGCTGCAAGGTGGATTTGCTTAGCTATTCTTGACCTTTCAGCATGACAATCATGATGGATGGCAAGGAAGATCCCCCTCTGGGTGCATGCGGGTTACTGGTCAACACTTAATTTAAGGTTCCTAGAGTACTGATTGCAACTGCACTCCTGTTTCCCTCTCAAGAAAGAAAATAGAATTGTAGGGGGGTGGATGGAGCACTGTTTTAGAGTAACCTCTGCAAGAATTTATGTTTAAAATATTACTTGTAGACTTTCTTTTTCACACTATTTTTACTGTTATCAGTGACACACCCAACAGTTGATACTGTGGTTGAAATCAGATACTGTAATCTAAAAATAAATACTCTGTCTAGGTTACTGTAGCTGATTTCAACCACAGTATCAACTGTTAGGTGTGTCACTGATAATAGTAAAAATAGTATGAAAAAGAATTAAAGTTTATAAAAATAAATACTCTGTCTAATCACTTAAAATAGCACTCTGACCTCAGAATCAGCCCTTAAGACATCCTGGTCTGGCTGAAAAGCTCACAGAAGCATTTCAGGCATGGAAAGCCAAGACACTGTGGCAAAAAGTGTCCTACATGAAGGATCTCTATGGTGAGACCCCAGTGGAAAGAAGTGGCCATCAAAGAAGGATCTACTTCACTCTGAAGGGAGGAGAGAAGTTCCACTTTGCTTATGGCGTTGTTTAAATATTGAAGGAGTTAGCAGATTCAAAAGGCTTCCATAGCCTAGACAGCTCATGTCAAGAGCCTCGGGTGATCACTGATGTCATACATAAGAGTGTTAATTGTTAAATTAACAACTGGAGTCACTGTGCACTAACTTCCTATGCAGGACCTCTGTCTTCAAAGAGTAGTATTATGAGATAAGTCTAGTTCCTAAAGAACAATTAATTATACTTGCAAAGTAAAGTATTATATGTGGAAAACATGATGAATGAAACACAGAAATTGAATCATGTTATCTACTTTTCTCACAGAAGTTTAATATAACAGTGTAAGTAATGAACACTACTCCAAAATGAGAGTACTTATGCCTTATTTAAATTATGCTGTTTTCAAATTAACCAAATTTCAAATTAGTAATTTCATCTCAACACAAATCAAGTTAAGTGACTAAGAATGACAATTATGTGGTTAAAGGATATTAAATAAACTTACATCCATCAAATTATAAATTCCTGAGATTAACAGAGTCATCATTTATTTTTCAATTGTGAAACACATAGCTCACAATGAAGTGGGAGGTTTGACAACCTTCTAATTCATTTGATTACATAAGCATCCAAGTCACAGAAAAAAAAAGAAATTTTATCTGAATCATTCATTTTATAGGTTGAGAAAAGAGCTGAACAATATTTTACTCTGCTGACATGAATAAAGGAATTGTCTGAATCCCTTTTTGGTCACTGGGAAAATCTGCAGAATTCTAAATGATAATATGTTGGCTTTTAACCACAGAAGTCACCTTCATTCATCCTGAATTTGAATCTGGACACAGCCATCAGATAAACAATGTTTCATTCCACAAAGAAGACTAGCGCAAAAAAAAATTTCACTTCCCTTCTACAAAAACTACTTCTTAAAAGAAAATTTGAAGGGTCCCTTTAAGGCCAGAGACTTAAACCACTGTCATGAGTGCCCGCATCCCATATCAGAGTGCCAATTCAAGTCCCAGCTCCTCCAGTTCTGATCAAGCTTTCTGCTAATGGGCCAGGGAAGGCGGCTGAGTGCCCTGGTCACTCACGTGGAAGACCCAGATGGAGTTTCTCATTCCTAGTTTCAGCCAAACCCAGCTCTGGCTATTGTGGCCTTTTGGGAAGTGAAAAACCTGTAGATAAATATTTCTCTCCTCCTCCTTTCTCTTTCTCTCCATGTGTTTTTCTGTCTCTCCCCCACTCTGTCACTCTGCCTTTCAAATAAATAAATCTTTTAAAAAGTTCTTTTTTTTTAATTTAAGCCTAAAATGTCAAAGGTCTCACCTGATTTCAGCCCTAAAAGCTGATCTAGATTTTCCTTTCCTCTATTTTTTGCAAAGAACCATTCTTATCTACAAGTTTTAACTGAGAACACTAGCTCTTTCAATAAGAAATCAGCATACTCTCAAATTATGCCATTCTTATTACTAACCATACTTATAATGAAACAGTCTACTTATAAATTGTCAGAAACAAGTTATTCTCACTCTGTATTTATTTATTTTTTTAAAATTTATTTGACAGATAAAGTTAGACAGCGAGAGAGAGAGACAGAGAGAAAGGTCTTCCTTCCGTTGGTTCAGCCCCCAAACGGCTGCTACGGCCGGCGCTGCACCGACCGGAAGCCGGGAGCCAGGTGCTTCCTTCTAGTCTCCCATGCAGGTGCTGGATCATAAGTGGAGTAGCCGAGTAGCCAGAATTCAAACCAGTGCTCATATGGGATGCTGGCACTGCAGATGGCAGCTTACCTGCTAAGTCACAGTGCCAGTTCCATAGCTGCTTTTCTAAAAATCAAAATATGTAAAGCACCACTAAGAATGAATGTATTCACCTGTATTTGCTTTGGTTTGTGTTGCAGCTGTTACAGGATTCTCTGGGCATCATGTGTACATGTTGACTGGTATTTAAATACAGAATGACAGGGCCGGCACCGTGGCTCACTTGGTTAATCCTCCACCTGCGGTGCCAGCATCCCATATGGGCGCTGGATTCTGTCCCAGATGCTCCTCTTCCAGTCCAGCTCTCTGCTGTGGCCCAGGAGGCAGTGGGGAACAACCCAAGTGCTTGGGCCCTGTACCTGCATGGGAGACCAGGAGGAAGCACCTGGCTCCTGGCTTTGGATCGGCACAGCGCCGGCCGTAGCAGCCATTTGGGGGGGTGAACCAACGGAAGGAAGACCTTTCTCTCTGTCTCTCTCCCTCTCTCTCTCTCTCTCTCACTGTCTTCTGTCTTGTAACTCTGCCTGTCAAATAAATAAATAAAAATAAATTTAAAAAATTTAAAAAAACCACAAGAGCAGCTTTATCCCCAAAATACTGACTTGATTACCTATTGAGTGAAAATAGACTGAAAACATCAGTGTGTACATTTTAAAAAACATTTTGAATATTAAGAAGCTGTTTAGTAAAAATTCTACATTTAAGGTATACACATTGTGAACATTTAATTAATGTATTCATTTGTCAATTATACTTCAATAAAACTTTAAAAAGAAACTCCTTTAATAACGTAACATAACTAATGAGACCCATGATTAGTAATGGTTTTAAATATACACATCAGTGTAACACTGCAGTAACTAAATCCATGTCTTTTTTAACAATTATTTAATAAATATAAATTTCTAAAGTACAACTTTTGGATTATAGCGGCTTTTCCCCTCATAACCTTTCTCCCACCCACAACCATCCCATCTCCCATTCCCTCTCCCATCCCCTTCACATCAAGATTCATTTTCAATTCTCTTTATATACAGAAGATCAATTTAGTATATACTAAGTAAAGATTTCAACAGTTTGCACCCACACAGAAACACAAAGTATAGAGTACTGTTTGAGTACTAGTTATACCGTTAATTCACATAGTACAACACATTAAGGACAGAGATCCTACATGGAGAGTAAATGCACAGTGACTCCTGTTGTTGATTTAACAACTGACACTTATTTATGACATCAGTAATCACCCGAGGCTCTTGTCATGAGTTGCCAAGGCTATGGAAGCCTTTTGAGTCCACAAACTCTGATCTTAGGTAGACAAGGTCATAGTCAAAGTGGAAGTTCTCTCCTCCCTTCAGAGAAAGGTACCTCCTTCTCTGATGGCCCGTTCTTTCTCCTGGGATCTCACTCATGGAGATCTTTCATTTAAGTCTTTTTCTTTTTTTTTTTGCCACAAGGTCTTGGCTTTCCATGCCTGAAATACTCTCATGGGCTTTTTAGCCAGATCTGAATGCCTTAAGGGCTGATTCTGAGGCCAGAATGCTTTTTAGGACATCTGCCATTGTATGAGTCTGCTGTGTATCCCGCTTCCCATGTTGGATTGTTCTCTCCTTTTTTAATTCTATCAGTATTAGCAGACACTAGTCTTGTTTATGTGATCCCTTTGACATTTAATCCTATCATTATGATCAATTATGAACTTCAACTGATCACTTTGACTAGTGAGATGTTTGGTACATTCCACCTTGATGGGATTGAATTGGAATCCCCTGGCATGTTTCTAACTCTACCATTAGGGGTAAACCCATGTCTTAAAGCTTCCATTCATTTTATTTTAATCCTCTTGCCTTTCAGCATCACTTTTGCCTTGTTTATTTTTATACAAGCCTAAGGAAGTTTATCTTATTTTTAAGTTTTATGATTCTGAAATTCATCAGGGAATAGTTTGTTTTACCATTCTCAGCTGTTTTTGTTGCATATAGGTTAGAGAAAAGTGCTTTTCTAGGAATAAAGAGAGAAACTGTTTCCAAATTTCAACAGAAGAAGCAGTTGCAACAGACAAACTTGTGATCCATGATGAGTTACTGGACTCTGTAATTCTTCTACAAGCTCCTCTCCTCCCCTGCGCTGCACTCAATTCCCTCCACAGTTCCAGTGGATCCCAGAAATGGGTAACTGGTAAGATCTCAGTATAGTGAACAGTCTGAATGGCCAGTAGAAAACAACTATCCCATTAGAGCTCAGAATCAATGCTGCTTGCAATACCACTTCACAGAAAAAAGGTCACTCAATGAATCTTGAGTAGAATGAAATCACAAAATTAAACGCTGCTTGACTTGAATCATTCAATTTATAACTTAACAGTTTAACAGAATGAATTGAAACAGTATTACCTCAGCCTCAAACTGATGAATGTAGTAAGTTTGAGCTTCCTTCTCTTGAAATGATTTAATGAAAAGAATGCTTTTGTAAAAAAAACCTAAATGAAAGATCTCTGTGAGTGAGATCCCAGTGGAAAGAACAGGTCTTCAAAGAAGGAGGTACCTTTCTCTGAAGGGAGGAGAGAACCTCCACTTTGACTATGACCTTGTCTAAACAAGATAAGAGTCGGAGAACTCAAGGGGCTTCCAAAGCCTTGGAAACTCATGACTGGTGCATAGGGAGATTACTGATGCCATAGACAGGAGTGTCAATTGGTAAAGTCAACAACAGGAGTCACTGTGCACTTACTCCTCAGGTAGGATCTCTGTCCTTAATGTGCTGTACATTGAGACTTAATGCTATAATGAGTACTCAAACAGTATATTTCACTTTGTGTTTCTATGGGGGTGCAAACTGTTGAAATCTTTACTTAATATATACTAAACTGATCTTCTGTAAAAAAAAAAAAAAAGAAATTATCAATTCCCAACTTGACTCTCACTCGGATTAAACATGACAATAGGTCTGATCTGATTTCATCATCATTTAAAAAATCATCTATTATTTTTCACTTTATGTTTCTGTGTGGGAGCAAACTGTTGAAATCTTTACTTAATGCATGCTAAAATGATCTTCTGTATATAAAGAGAATCAAAAATGAATCTTGATGTGAATGGAAGGGGAGAGGGAGTGGGAAAGGGGAGGGTTGCGGGTGGGAGGGACGTTATGGGGGGGAAGCCATTGTAATCCATAAGCCGTACTTTGGAAATTTATATTCATTAAATAAAAGTTAAAAAAAAAAGAACCATGAAAATGCAGACACTAAATTTCCCTTTATGCAAAAATAAATCCACTGCCTAATATTAGCAATTATAGCACTGCGCTGATCTGAAGCCAGGAGCCAGGTGCTTCTCCTGGTCTCCCATGGGGTGCAGGGCCCAAGCACTTGGGCCATCCTCCACTGCACTCCCGGGTCACAGCAGAGAGCTGGCCTGGAAGAGGGGCAACCGGGACAGAATCCAGTACTCCGACTGGGACTAGAACCCGGTGTGCTGGCGCCGCAGGTGGAGAATTAGCCTATTGAGCCGCTGCACCGCTATCTTCTTCTATTTCACTTTCTCTTTCTCTCTCTCTCAAATAAATAAATAGATAGATAATACAAATTTTAAAAGTTTATTTTGGTGCAAAAATTTGAAATACATGCATAGTGAACATTTTGAAATACTTTTATATACAAATACATATACAGACACACACACACACACACACACACATATATATATATATACTTATTTTGGAGAATTTAAACTTGTATTTAAATTATTTTATCCAAAAGTTGTTTTGGGGAGATTCATCCATACTGATACATGAAATTTTAGTTAATTTTAACTTGAATGGAGAACATACATTCTTAAATTGCCGGCAGGAGTATAAATCTATACCAATATTTATAGACATATATATATATATATTACAAGCATGAGTTTATAGAAAAGTTGACATGTAGTAAAAATACAAAGATGTGTGTGTATAAGACTGATAGACACCGATTTAAAGGTAATGATGGCATTCAGAGAAGGAAAAAGTGTTGAGTGAGGAGGTGAGGCTTCAAACACACCTATAAATATTGTCATTTTAAAGAAAATCTGAAGGAACTAAGGCAAAATGGTAGCACTTTTACATAAGAGTAAGATACGGGAATATTATTTTCTATACTTTTCTGTGAGCCTAAAAACCATAATGAGAAATTGAAAATGAAAATTTATTGAGCAAGTAGAAATTAATGTCCTCTTAAAATGGTATCAAAGTCACAAAACACAAACACATCATGCTTTGCTTTACAACAATGATCCTTATGTGTACAAATATCTCCACAGTACTTGTTCTAGAACAAAACTGTCATTCCAATAACATGACAATAAGACTCCTCTCTGGGCAGTTTGTCCTGTTCTGTCCTCAGGATAGGATGATTATCTTTATTTTCCAAATGAGAAAATAACACATTCAGCAAGCTTCACTGACTTTCCCATGGGCAATTATAGAGTTCATATGGGCTCAAAATCAGTACAAGAGCCCAAGACTCCTTCCTGGGCAATGCTTGTTCATAAAACTCAGTCATGTAACCCCATTCTATGTCTCAATCCATGAGAAGAAAGGACCAACACAAAGAAAGGATGCATCTGTTACCATGCATAAAGCATTCAGGCCAAAACAATGTAACCAAGAGACATCCAGCTATCTGTGTCTCTGCAACCAATCCACTGGCCCAGCCACGGGCACAGCTTCATGCAAGGCCTCTGAGAGTCACAGTGTGGAAACCCACCTAAGGGGCACTCAGTAGACACATTTCTCAAGGAAATGATACGTGCCAAAATATGGAATAGGGTAATTACCAGAAAATAATCTTCCATCTTTCACACAATCAGAAATGTATAATTACATCCTCAGTGACCCTACAGCTTAAAACAGAGTGGGCTGAAATGGTACTGTCCCAGTTTTTGCTTTGCAAAAAGCAGCTGGCATTCTTGAAAACAGTGAAAAGAATAAATAAAAGCAAAACATGGGGTTCTGACACCTTCAGAAACTAAAATATATGCAGTTGTATTTCTTTCTTTACTTCAGCAGTTCTACTTTAAAATCTGAGAACTGATTGTGAAATAACTATGGTTTTGAAAAGGGTAGAAAGAAAAGTCCTTGAAGCAGCTAATCTAAATGTCTCTCTGTAAATCAGCAGTTTCAATACCTCTACTTATTAGCTCATTGTTAGGATTCAATATAAGCAATTAAAATATTCACTTTTCTGGAACAGCTCAGATGAAGACTTGGCCTATGGTGGTACAATTTAAATCTGTAATAGTCATTCCTACAATTACCTTATTAAGGCTTCCTTTACTGTCATATAGTTTTGTTTTCCTATAATCTTTCCCTTGTTTACTCTCCAAAGAAAACTTTTACTCCATTAGTTTCCCTCCACTGCTCCTCAAAATATCCTTTATTCCATTACTAATCATTTTTTCCCTAACAAATGAAGCCTCATGAAGTGAACTCAAACTGCACCAAGGCTCAAATGACCTAATTGTCCAGCCCACTGTACTTCAATTCTCATCCTACTTGATCCATTGGCAGCACATAGCACTCCTTATCTCCTGTTCTGTCTTGAAATGCTCTCCTTTCATTCCTAAACACACTCCCTTGAGTCTCCTCTAACTCTCTCAACACTCTTTCACAGTGGGATTTGCTTGTTCCACTTCATTTTCAATCACATATCCTTTTAAGGGTTCCTCCTTTCTTCTAGCTTGTTTTATCCTTTATGCTTCTTTAGGAACTCCCATCTATACAAATTATCATTCATATTTATATATAAATTAGTAAGTCATATTTATATACCTCTAAATTCAGTGTCTGTCCTGAAAACTCAATGTCAATCTATTCTCCATATTGCTATGAGAATTATAATAATTTAAAAAAATTATCCCACTTCATCTCTTATTGAAAAAGTGATTGCTGCTCTGC